TCTATTTAACAGTGCACATGCAATACTAGCAAAAGTGCACTACAAAGCAGAACACAATAAAGATGAAGAGAATTTATAGACACAAGATAATCAACATCACTACCAGATTTGGAAAAAAATTCAAAATGTCAAAATGAATACAATAGATGCATATAAAATGTAATATTTCCAGGGTGACAAAGGAGATAAAGGTGACACTGGTGCCAAAGGAATGAAGGGTCATACTGGGTTCAAAGGTGATCAGGTAGACAAATCTTATTTCACCTTTTAAACATCCACACTGATGAGAATCTTTAGGTGAAGTGAAGTTCGTAATGTTTTTTTAATGTGTTGTCTAGGGGCCTATGGGACCAGTGGGACAAAAAGGAAGCCAGGTAATTATAATCTCTGTATTTGCTTCAAATGTTTCAGCGTCAGTACAGTAAACACACTCACCACATTCCTTCTGTGAACAGGGCGACACAGGTCCAGCAGGAGATCTCGGGGTCAAGGGAGACCAGGTATGTGGAGCTACGTTTTGTTTTGCTGAAAAAATGCGACGACCCCTCTGTGAGTGGACTTGGAAGATGTCAACTAATCTTTGTGTGTTTTCAGGGCCCTCCTGGTGTTACTGGAATCAAAGGAGAGGTATTAAAACATTTTGTTTCTGTTGCTTAAGGATCATTTCACATAGAACCTCTGCACAACAAGGAATTAAGAATGGTAAAAATGTGTTCATTTCCACCTTAAGCGTGGAGAGAAGGGCCAGAGAGGAGCTACAGGAGATACTGGCAGACCAGGCCAGCCAGGTCACGAGGGTTTGTCTGGTCCAATGGGAGCTCGAGGACTGGAGGGAGAACCAGGCCTTCCTGGAACACCAGGCCCCAGAGGTCTACCTGTAAGTGTTACCATTGACAGTGTCGAGTATGTAGCCTACTGTACAGTACTGTGGTATTGTAGTTGGACTAATAACTGTTCATTCATTAAACCACAGGGCCCCAAAGTGAATGATGACAAGCTTCGTGAGATGTGCTCAGTGGTTGTTGAAGGTGCTTTGTTTTCTTTAATTTGACCTTATCACATCCATATCTCCTCTATATTAAACCCATGGTCAAACTAATCACATAAACAGTACTTTTAAGCTGATTTGTTCTTTGTCTAACTAGAGCAATTAGCCGAGTTTATGAAAGAGTTTATGAAGAAACCAGCAGCCATTGGTGCTCCTGGTATTCCTGGACCTTCAGGACCTCCGGGCCCCGCTGGACCAGCTGGAGTGGCAGGAGCAGCAGGAACCCCTGGGCCAATGGGTCCCAAAGGCCATCCAGGCTTCTTTGGACTTCCAGGCATACCAGGCAAGAACGGTCAGTAAGACTGGAAACATTCTCCACTACTCAATACTGAACTCCAACAGAACCAGTTTGCAGTTAACCAAAACAGCTGGCTTCAGCAATCTTCAGAAGAGCCTTAAGTGGTTTGCAAATACTGAATGTGTTTCACCAGTGCTGTGATAGATAAGCTGTGCCTTTTGCCTCTCCTTTATTTTCTTGGAAAGCATCCAGAACTAATACAGTGGATTTAGTGGCAAGAAATTAAATGAAGCCTTTACTAAAAACAAGACTGTGGGTCCTGGCAGTAAGCCTTTGTCTTCACACTGGCACAGAACACTGAAAAGAAGTTGCATAGAGCGCTCTGCAGATGGAAGGGATTCACCCATGCATAATATTATACAATCAATGATTCACTAAACAAGGCTGAATCCGAGCGGAGTCATTAAGTTTCCTAATTACATCCCCATAACTGTGAAAACAGTATGCCTCTCTCATCTCAGCATTCATTTGTGTGTCCTCTATGTGCTCTCTGTTCTGCAGGTGATGCTGGTGAAAAGGGAGATAAGGGAGACAAGGGAGAGGACGGTGTAGGAATCAAAGGAAGCCCAGGCGCACCAGGTGCAGCAGGTAAGGCTCAATTCTTGTTATAATTAGAGCACATCACTGCTGAGAGGAAAAGGTCTTTAAAATGTCTGCATTTCTCTTTATTAAAGCTGCAGTTGGTACTCTTTATAAAAAAGTTGTTGATTGTTGAGTATCATTCCCAGGGAGTCAAGGAGGAGCTTGGCTCCTCTTAAGAAGACGTGAGCTTCCCTAAAACCTTTGAGGTGGTCCTCAAAAATATTGACAATTTGCTTTTTTTGCCATGCATTTCTGTTTTTCTATGTCTTCATCATCATGGTTTTTGCATAAACTACTAATAATAGCTACTATTGATGTATGATTGTGCTTGAGGGTGATTCATCACTGTTACAGATACTGTTATTCTTTCCATTACCTTTGCACAATATCATTAACTTCAGATCAGAAAATATACATACAATATACAGAAAATAAACTTTCCTAGTCCCACTCAGTCTGCACACTGAATCGCCATTATTGATTATTCTATTTTGAACAGTTGAAAAAGTGAGCTCTCAGAAAGCCATGCTATAGTTTGCTGTTTGTAGAAACAGCATCCAAGCTTCCAGCCTCTGGGTGGGCGTTTCCAATGACAGTGGTGGACTTACTTTTGAGGTTTTGAGCTATGAGACACGTTGTTAAAGAGGTTCTTCACAGTTTACCTGCAAAGAACTTAAGTCACTGTGTATCACTGAGGTCTAACAAACGTGCTCAATGTTGCGTCACTCACAGCTGGAGCACTGCTAGGGACTGATATGAAACTCTCCCAGTTAAATCATCAGTGCAAAAGATAAACAACTTTGCTTGAAAATATCTGGATCTTTGACAAAAAGTCTTGAAGGCACAAGCCTTGTGTACATAAAAACCTCGAGGTAGAAGTTAATTACTAACAACTCCCAAGGTGCATGTCATCAAGAAACATAAAATCACAGAGCCTAAAATTCTCTTACATGCTCCATAAACGGTGGGTGCAGTCTGCGTCACTTTTGGATGAATTCAGCCCCCATGGCTTTTATTCCCAATTGCAACTCTGATCTCTACCGCTACTAGCTTCCTCGCACGGCAACAGCAGCCGAGGCTCATGCGTATTGTAGTATTTAGAGCCCTCAGCAAAAATGACGGACAAAACTTGAGCTTTCAGAAACACAGCTGAAATAATTAAAATTTGTTGTCAAAACATAAACCTTTTGAAACTTTACATTATCTGAGAGGGCCAGTGTTTCTGTGTAACTTAAGTTACATTGATGATAATGCAGAAGAATACATTTTTAAATGGGAAAGCAAAAGTAAAAGCAGTGGAAAAATATATCCAGGACCATTAGCCATTGGAAATGAATTGATAATATCAACTATTTTTAGTGCACACCCACACAGTTCCACCAATCATTTTACAATATACAGTCAAGTCAAAACTAATATGGAGAATATACACTATATGTATATACTAATACCTTTGCCAAAATTAATTTTATGGACTGTTCGACATTTCATGTGTTTTCTATCTCAACCTCAGGTGCACCAGGAGCTCCTGGTATTGGCAAGGATGGCAAAAATGGAGAACGTGGTGAGCCAGGAAGTCCTGGTTCCCCAGGAGCAGCCGGTCCAAGGGGATCTTCAGGGCCACCTGGGCTTTGTGATCCATCAACCTGTACAGGCAGACTTCCACCTTTCTATATGGTCAGCGGGAAGAAGTCCGCCGGCTACAAAAACCCATGAGACATCACAGCTCATTGACACACTCCAGTTCTTATCCTGCGGTGACCACGTTTAAGGGCTTTCCAGAAGTCCAGGGCGTGGTGATCTTTGGGAGTCTTCAAATGTCTCCATCTGAACCACGGATCTAAGAGACGCAAAGGGAAACAGAGACAAGGCACAATTGTAGAATACTGTATAGATGTTTTAACTTGTATGTGATTTTAGTGAGAGCTTATCTAATGTTCACAGATAGCTGCTACTGATGCCAAAGCAACTTGTTCCAGCCGACGACAGGCCTGCAGGCCCATGAGTTGTCCCATACAAATGCAGAAAATGCTGACGCCTATTTCCAGGAAAACAAATATGGACAGGGTGTGAAGTAATACAAAGGCATGTACTTTTTCAACCCTAGCTACATGTAAAGTCTACAGCATACCAGGTGCCATATTGACCCACTGATTCTCCGCTGCAGTCATGAGCCACTTAGGAACAGAATTTGGTAAAGTGAAACGTTTTGAGTCCTTGTTTCCAAAACAAAACTACAAAAAAAATTTTGCATTAATATCTTCAGATTTCACTGCACAAGTCAACCCGAGCTGACTTCTCCAACAACGTGCTTTCTCATTTAGGATCATACATGTGTTTTGCCTGATGTTCTTTTTCAAACAATTTAATAAAGTGATATGTTTTGGAAATGTGTGCACTAGTGTATTAAGACTGTTTAATGGAACACAAAATCTATCTTAGAGCTGCTGCATCTTACGTTCTATTAGTATTAAAATTCAAAGATAACAATAAGTCAGATGATTACATAGCACAAATGACCCTTCCTAATTCCCGCCCCTTTTTGCTCTGTGCCCCAATAACAGTTGAGCAATCCTTGGGAAGGATCAGTTTAGAGAATTAAGTAGATTGGTATGCACATGACAAGGTGGTGGATCAATGAAATTCCACTCTACAGTACGATGGTTTTGTATTGAAAACAAGGTCCCCGGGTTGTTATGGATATAATCTAGATTCAGGAGGGCATTTCACTGTTGCCTGGTTACAAAAGAAAGTCAACATCATCCCTGCCTCTGTCTGCACAGCACAAATACATTCCCAGATCAAACATGACCTTTAGCAAGCTGCTGGAGAGTTAACGTAGCAGCCGTCCTAAGGACATCCCTTTGATTTAATAGATTGTATCATGGCTCAGAGCCAGTGGATTTAAAGTTGTGTACATAAGTGAAAGGATGCACATGGTTCATAAAATTTGATTCAGCGACAGACTAGTGATTAATGCTTTATATTTTCAGCTTACAGATGCAGAAGGGGAGTAGAAGTCAAAGGGACCTTACTTTAGCATTGCCTATTCAAAAAACAAAGCAAAGCCTGTTTTATAAAATTAATCTGTTCCAGTCTTTATTATACAGTACAGTACATGTGTCTTTCCAATACTTACAATATGCTACTAATTTAAAATATCTTAGCACCAATTCATCAGGAAAAAAGGGGGAAAACAGGTTAATACATTTTTACTGCATTAAAACACAATTGTATTGGTTCAAAGCCTGATAACTTTAACTTAAAAATCTTTCAATTAGCAAAAACAGCTAATTTGAATAATGAAAGATGTTTGGCTAATATGCACTACAAAACTTTAAGCTGTGTGCTGCAACTTACTTACCATCCCACCCTGTAACACATCTATTGGTAACTGTATCAAGCATTTACAAAACCAAGAAAGGGCAATACTGATGCGGTTTGATTGTGCAATAATAAATCACTGACAAAGAAGCAGCTAATAGAAAGATATATTAAATGGTATGACATGGCAGGTAATTCATTCCAATCACACATTTAGGACCAAACCGTGATTCTGAACCTTAGGTACTATAAAACTTCTAACAAAAGCAGGGTCCCAAATAGAAGCAGGTCTCCTTTACAAGCCTGGTGTGGCCACACATTTTGCCAAATAAATGCAGGTCTCAATTAGAAGCCTGGTCTGGATTTTATAGGAATTATCTGGATGTATAAAACCTCTTAAAGCCCACCGGGTCGCCCGCTTGAGCGAGTTTTAAGCCATTTAGTTCGCCTACACAAATATAAATGTTTTAACCTTTGTCAGTATGGACATGCTGCACATTGTTAGATTAGTTAGATTCTCCACAATTCAATTGTTTGGTTCATTTTAAGGAAACTATGAGCACCACAAAATAATATTATTCAGATTTACCGGCATGGTAAACAAAATACCAGCTGCCGTAAAACAACGTTCCCGTTCGAGTGTCATGGCGGCAGCACAGAGAAAAAAGTACGACCTGAAATTTAAGCTATTTAAGTTGTCAAATTTGCTGAACAAAACTCAAGAGAAGCAGCACGGTTACATTGTATTTCCATCTGTGTTGAGCAAGAGTTTTGTGCTAAAGGAATAAAGGCCTGACCCCAATAAAGGCAGGGTGACTTCAGTGATTTAGGCAAATAAACACCCGGGCTATTATTAGAAGTTTTACAGTAGTTTTAGTGATACGAACATTTCTCAGAGGCAGAGCTGTTCTGAAGGCAAGATACATCCCAGAGGTGCTGTAACATCTACAGTTTTGTTGGCAACATACTGTACATAAAAAAGTTGAAAAAGCAGCTAGTGAGCATTGCTGGCCAGCCTATATTAAACTAGCTATTCTTATGTATTAATGCAAGCTAGCAAGCTAACCTAATGCTATGGACATGAAGCAATGAAAAATAAGCCTTTTTATTCAAATGTTTTCTATTTTGAACTATAACTGTAACTATGTAACTTCAGTTGAAGAGAGGCCACTGTCCACATGTGGGAACATGAAAACAATGTAAATGTTAAATTCAACCTTTTGCTAACATTAGCATTAACATTAGCCACCAATAAGATAGGGAGGCTACAGCAGGAAAACCCCTGAGTGTACAGAATTTAGCAAGGGTGCACTTTATTGGTCATGAACTCAACTTTTCATTTGTAAGATGAAGAATGTACGGTTAATTCTTTCAAAAATGACACAAAAATCAAATTACTCCTGCCTCCAGAGCAGCCGAGAAATATTTGTCGAACTAAAACCTCCAGTCTGCTTTACCAACATCTTCAAAAACTAAGTTGTGTCAGAGCCACAGCTTTACATTCTTTATGAATGACTTCCCAAAAGGTAACCTGAGCAAGAGATTATAAGTATGAATGGCCCATAAAGTCATAATCTGTGACCTGTAGGTCATACCGTATGTTTTGGCACATAACATTTCTGTATCCTCTTCTTGAAAATTGCTCCCGCACTTCCTTTTTTGCTCTTGTATGTATTGAAGTGTTTCTTAATGTTTTCAAAAGGAAGACAAATGTGATACCTTTTGTGGAGACTATTTAATAGATTTTAGATGACCAGCACATCTGAGGTTAGGGAGAGGTGTAATTGGTCCATAAGGGACGTAAGACAAAGAATCTTCTTAATGGTTACCACAACTGCTCTGGTCATCAGGATGCATGGAAGCAACGCTCCAATTTAAGGTTTCAGGGGACAAATAAGAAAAGCAGAGTCTTTTCAGAGCGGGTCTGAGCTGCCAGGCACTGCCACAGCGTAGGCACTTATTAAGCCCCACTGAACAGAAAGGAAGTGACACATTTAAAGAAAGCAGTGTGAAACAAGCAGCTTTTCAAGAAAGGTGAACAAAGGCTGCAATTATACCACCTCCTCAAAGCTGTTTACTGCTCGGGTCTATGCATACCTCAAAGCAAGAATGACCAGAGCCACTTCATTAAACATAAAAGTACAAATCTAACAGTGACATTTCGTCCTGTCTCGACATCTCTGTTTTTAGACTCAGGTTTAATAGCTATCCTATGGGTGAGCTTGGAACAAATCATTACATGACACGTATGAATTATGCACACGTGTCATGTTATTACTGTTTTGTACAGATTTTCAAGCTAATCTAAATGACTTTCATTTCAAAATGATATCCAACTTTAAATTATACAAATTCATACCATTTGATTGCTAGTGTGAGCACTGTGTTGCATTTTTTAGGCAAATAAACAGAATTTTGGAATGAAATCCTTCAAATCTCTCCCAAGGCAAGAGTCATGTCTGTTGCCTCCAGTTTATTTCCAGAGTAAAATGTTGCTTTATTTCAGTCTAAATAAATCAGACATGTTCACTTTGTTTAATGGGGGATTTTCTAACAGTTTTTGTTATTGGGTGCCAATACTTTCCAAACACTACATAAGAACAATGCTACCAGCCTGGAGGCAAGAATTGCACAAATGTGGTCATTCATCACTCTCCACACTAACTCATTAACACTCCTCCTACACAAGATCACTATTGGTGTTTGAGATCGTGCCTCACAGTCTGTCCCCCCTCCCCCTTCCCATCAATGACAATAAAACAGATAATTCCCTTGACTGAGTAATTACCAGTAGACTGGTAGAAGATCTCTAGCGTGAAAACAATTTAGTGAGCAGTGACTGACATCTATTGCTCGATGTAGGACAGCGTGGGCTGCGAATGGCAATTGATGCAAAATGGTGTGAGGCAGGAAAAAGAAAAGACTGTGCTGTAGACATATTCCTGCAAGACATTGCCTAACTGAAGTTTTTTGGTAATTACTGATGAAACGATACAATATCAGACTCCCAAATCTTAACTCCCGATGGGGGGAGGGGGTTTAAGAGGAGGGAATTGTATCATCCTCGTTATCTCCCTATATATTTTACAGAGAGCATGCAAGTGAGGAAAAAACTGTGTAGCTGCCCTCTTTACCCCATATTAAATCTGAAAAATACCTTTGATGCTTAATCCCCATCCATCCCACGCTTCATACCAAAAACAAAACAAAGAATCTGACCGGCAGCACAAGTTGCTTCAGCTCTCCAAACTGAGGTTATCTTGGAAAAGAAAAGTTCTTGATTCAGACTGACACGACCAAGTTCATAAATACAGCTGGACTTCAAGCTCTTTGTGTTTCCTCTTTCTTAAGTCCCCTTGACGTTTTTGGTGTGGGGTCTGTGTGCCAGGCTGGCATAGTAGGCACACTGGCTGGGGTCACATTGACCAGGAGGACCTGGAGGTCCAGGTTGACCGTGGGGGCCGGGGTTTCCTGGCTCTCCCTGGGCTCCGGCTTGTCCTGGGCTTCCGTCTTTGCCATAACCAGGCATACCGGCAGGTCCTACAGTGGGAAGAGGAACAATTATGGGCTAAATTGGTTGAAACCAACCAAATAAGAATGAATACAGTAAGTAAGAGACTGGTTGTTACCTATGGGGCCAGAGGGTCCTTGCTCTCCTCGTTCACCGATACCAGATTCTCCCTTTTCTCCCTTTGTTCCTTTCTCACCTGGAGGGAACAGGAAAATAGCATGGTACAATGATTGCACATTATCAGCCGTTGTATTTATTAATAAGCAGTTCTGAACAGCCATGAGCATTACCGTATGATGAAATTGATTCATGACATATATATAGTTCTCCAGTCTTTTAGGGTATATGATTAAAGTTGCAGTGGATATAAGTTTGAATGGAAGAACAGGGCTAACAGTTGGACAGCTAAAGAGCAAGTATATTTTAGACAGGTTGTCTGAACAGTAGTAGTGTGAAATAAATGCAGGGACTGTTTGGAATGTCAGGCCTTTCCCTGTGTCTGTCCAAGCCTTTGGACTGTAGCATGATCATTCTTAGCTTTTTGTATAATATCTTCTGTGGACTGTTGTCAAGTCTGTGAAGATTCCTTGGATGATGTAATTGGGCTCATGTGTTTAAGCTGGATTCACAGGATCACGCGAGAATAAATCTTACCGGGCTTAAAGGCTATGCCCTTGTGTCCGAAACCACAGTGGTTTGGGGAAACCAAAGCAGTGTGATTCAGTAAGAAGCAAAAACTACAATGGCGGCTGCTAAAGAGGTTAGCATAGATGATGCTAGCATGAGTGATAGCAGAACTGGAGAGTATTGATTTATTGAAATAAGAGCAAAGAACGCCTCTGCAGGCTTTTCACGCTGTAAAATATGTTTTGCTCTCCCGGCTGACTTACTGTTTTGTTCGTTTGAAGTTCGCCTGCGATAGACGGTGACAGACAGATGGTTCATCCAATCGCCTGCCAAGTATTTTTTTAAAGTCCCTGCCCTTTTCCATACAGTTCTAAGGATAACTTCCCAGACTGTTCTGTGTAACAAACTATTTGGTGCACTCAGGTTAGTGCTGGAATACTACTATATCATGTCCTGGTTTGTCCGCTGGTTACACTGACAACCTTACAGTTGTGACAGGATTTCAGGATCACTGTGTCCAGCCAAGAAATTCTCTGGCACCCTACACCCTGACATTTTCACTCTTGGGTTTCAGTATGGATTCAATAAGTGAGACATAATGAGTTTATTAGTGAGCTTTAGAGGAGCTGGTATTTGTTACCTTAGAGAGAGTTAGGCTAGCAGTTTCCCATTGTTTCCATTCCTTGTGCTAAGCTAACTATTTCTTGGTTGTAGCTTCAGATTTAGCGAGCAGACATTAAAGTGGTATCAATCTTCACTCAAGAGTATTTTCCAAATAAAACTGAACTGAACACGAAGCAGTTTTAATGACGAAATTCTATTGAAGACATCAAGTTCAAATCTCAACTCCAATTTCCAAGTTGAGAATTAGGAAGTAGTAAACACTGTAGTAGCAAACAAAAGCCTTAAAAAGGACACACACAACCAATAACACTGCTGTGAGCCTTTGTCCTACCTTTAGGGCCCATGGGTCCCCTGGGTCCTTCTCCTCCATTCTGTCCAGGCATACCAGGCTCTCCAGGGGGGCCAGGTCGTCCACTGCCGCCGTCCTTACCCGGAGGGCCTGGAGGTCCTGGACGGCCCGCTGTACTCTTCACATGGGCTGGCTGGATCTGAGCCATGAGGTAAGCCATTTTGGCTGGACAGAAAAGAAAAGTTATTAAAATATATAACTCTGTTAGGTTCTCCTAAATTAGCCCACATGAAGCAAATGTCTCTCTGAGATCTACAGGCAAGACGAGACCCAAATAGAAATTGCCTCCTCACCATCTAATTGTTTTGCCAGCTCCTCCTGGATGAGCCGTCTCATCTGCTCCAGTGATACTGACTCTCCCTGAGACAACAAAGATGTTAATGATTAACTCAATTATTTATAATTGAATGGAAATCATCTGCTGTGCATATTACTGTGCCATGAACATTGTTTCAAAATGGAATTAAGCTCTCAGGAATAACACTCACTCTTTGGCCTGGGACACCGGGGTTTCCTGAAGGTCCTTGTGGCCCAGGAGCTCCTAATTCTCCTGGTGGTCCTGACATACCCATCATCCCTGTGTGGCCCTTTCTGCCTGGGGGTCCTGGGTTTCCTGGCATGCCTGGATCTCCTGAATGTCCTTTATCTCCCTTCATACCTGGATCTCCCTGGATTAGATGACAGCAGTTGTAAATTTTCAGGCTTGAAGGAGCTATTTGAACCCCACCAACCAAAAGAAAAACAAACCCAAATTCCACCAGGCACGTTCTTGGCAAGGCTCTAAATTTCACCAGAAGCGTACCAGAAGTGTCCGCTCTGAACAATGTGGAATACGTGGCTGGTCTATTTTTGATGGAAGCCGGGACCCACTTGTGTTAGGCGGCACAAAGCAAATCGCACTGACAGGAAGTCAGAAATATAAACGACATAGAGAATCCGGTCAATTATCAAAATAAAATACTGTGTATATTTACGCTATATCAACACTGATCTAGTACTCTGAAGGTGCTCCCCCTCTGAAACGCTATCTGTGGGATTTGAAGATGTGCGGATCACAGAGTCAAACCGCAGTACCACGCAACGTTATAAAGCCGTGCCTAGGGGAATCTGGGGTAAGTGTTAAGTGAATAATGGAAATAAAACAAGGGTTGCAGCAGTGGGATAGATCAGGCCACATGCATGGCTGTGTATACAGTATAAACAGAATCAGAATCAGAAATACTTCATTGATCCCCGTGGGGGAAATTAGTTTGTTACAGTTTACTACTCACACAATGTTAAAGAAATAGTACTTATATACAATATCTAACACAATATATAGAATAGAAAAAGTAGGTATATACATATAGTAAAGTAAAAATAAAATGGAAATAGAAATACAATAAGAGCTTAAGAGATATAATAAGATAGTAAGAGCCTATATATAAAGTAAATGTAAATCTAAACACAAGTGTAAACCATTCCACAGTAATGGAAGGAGGACCAGATGAATGTAGAGTTAGTCTGTTTACAAATGAGCTATTAACAAAACTCTTTTCTCTTTTGTGGACATCAGAGATTTTAATTCCACTGTTTGTAGAAGTGTGTGTTGAGCGTTTGACTGAGTTATGACTCACTTGCATCAAACAATTGTGTCAGTCAGGTGCATCTATTATCTAACACTCACCTTATCTCCTTTGTGGCCACGATCACCAACTCTGCCTGGCATCCCCTACAAAAGACAACAAACAGTGGATGTGAGCAACAAATCTATTTATTCTATATCACATTAGTCACCTGTGGATTTATGAAGTGCTTACCTGTTTTCCCTCTGGGCCAATTGGACCTGGTGGACCCTGGAAATCAAGATAAAAGTTAATATGATCCACAGCTTATTATATAGCTGCAAGTAATCTTTTAATAAGAATATGTAAAATCTACCACTCACCGCAGGGCCTTTAGGTCCACTAAAGCCTGGTAATCCTGGGTTTCCAGGCTCTCCCTTGTCCCCTCTAAGACCCTGTACGAGAGCAGAGACATGGCCGTTTGTCACATGGTGCACACGTGTCATACTGTACTTGCATTCTAAAAGCCTCGCTCATTACTGAGGATTCAGCTAGATTAACATTTAGCTGCAGTTCTTATCAACAGGCAGCAGAGCTGTGGATAAAAATCTCATAAACCAATCTTGCGGTGGGACATGCCAGCTTGAAAAGATTAAAATTCATATTTACAGGGGACATGTGGGCCTAAAGACAAGCTGGTTATGGCAACCTCAGAGTGAAGGAATTTTTTAATGCTTGCAGAAAGTACAGTGGACACTTCTTTCTCTTTCTGTTATTGAATGAAAACACTTTCTTTCGCTGCTTCTTTCCACTCACTACATCTCCTCTCTCTGTGCGCAAAATTTGGACATCTGATATCATTTTTGGCAATATCTGATCCCACTTCTGACTACCTTCACCCTCCACTGAAATCACTTTCTATCTCCTCTTCTAACCTTTCTGCATCTGGCTTCTGTCCTCCTCCCTCCTCCAGGCTATTTCTGATGATCTGCTCCCTCTGCTGACTGATTTCATCACCTTCTCTCTGGTAGCTGGCTGCCTATCGTCTGCCCTCGAGTTAGCAACAGTTACTCCTCCTCCCAAGAAACCATCCCCCAGCCCACAGACCAGCGTACAGCTCCGTCTATTTCTTGCCAAAACACATTTTGTTGCGAGTGATACCAGCATGTCAAATAAAAAATTCTCCTCACTCACAAGCTCTTACTATCTTGATCTGCCACATTTACTTTCCGTTACATACAGTATCATATCTGTCATGATGCCTCCCCCTCTTCTTCGTCTCCAGGCCAGCCCCTGGTGTTCCCATGTTGGAAAATAAGAAAATGCCGCAAAAGTGCCCACTTGGATACCCCTATGGGAAAGTCCCCCTATAGGGTGCCCTACTTTCTAGAAAATTAGTTGGCCACTTGGTGCCTCTAAATGGTTAAATAGTTAAAGCTCCAGTAGGTAATATTTATAAAAATAACTGTAGGATATTTGGTGAAACCTTCCTGACAGTAGTTCATGAGACAGATAATCTGTGAAATAATCTGGTTCCTCTGGCTCCTCCTAGTGCTCCTAATGGCATTTACAAGAATCCACCGGGCCTGAACGAAAACAACCAATCAGAGCCAAGAAAGATAGTAGATTGTTGGGTCTCATTTGCAGGTCATCAAAAACCAACACTGGGAATGAGACTCAATAATCATCTTCCTCCAACCCAAAGCATCTTTTTATCTTTCTTGGCTCTAATTGGTTGTTATCACAGATTATCTGTCTCATGTACTACTGTCAGGATATAGTGAAAGTTTCAGCAAATGTGACAAAAAGTAATATTTATAAAAGTTACCCACTGCAGCTTTAATAGTCCCTTATTGTACCACACATTATTCAGGTTTTTTTTTATTCTACTGACTATTTCCTCTGTCCAATTTGTGGTCAGCAGTGTTTTCACGTCACCTTTTACTTTCGGCTCAGCGCACTTGGAACCGCGACCAAGGTGACACCAAAAAAAGTCCCAGTTATTATCCATAACTTTAACCAAAAAAGAACTGAATGAATGACAAGAAGAAGTAGAGTCAAGTCTAGCCGAGCTGTACCATGCAGTGGAAACACATTAGTTATACATTAAATCTGACTCACACAATAAAAACTGTTTAATCTTAAACAGGGTTTGGAACAGTTTCACCATAAATGCATCACATCTTTGTACACGCTGGTGCCCTTTTTTATTTTTTTACCCCTCAGGCAGCCTGAGTCCGCCACTGGGCCCCAGCGCGGGTGTCACACAATAAACTCTGTAATCACTGAACCCTCACTGACTTTAATCCACCTCATCTGTGTGCTCAGCGATACTGTGAGAGTACATAGAGTACAAGGGCTCCAAAAGCTTTATGAGGACTGGGCCAGCACTTTAAAAGACATATTACCTGAGCAGTAAAGTGCACAGCTCATGTATCACAAGTAGCTTAAAAATGACCAACGTGTTCATGCCTTCGTGGAATAAAGAACTTCACAATTAATTAACTGCCTTAAACAAATCTTTCACAAACTTTTGGACAAAACCTGTTTTGATTAATATGAATTTCACTTGAATTTCATAGACCACATAGTCCGTAGGACATTGTTCTCTAATTTTATTTCAAATAAGAGGCATTATTGGCAACTCCCATGTCTTCATTGTTATTTGAAAATATTTGCCCTTGGATTTGGTGCATTTCTCCATCTATTCAACCAAAACTTAGTTATGCTAATGCCAGTTGTCAAGGGGGCTCATAAATATATTTACTACTTTTCCACTAATCCTTTCACACTCAGCTTGACTTGCACATCTTGGTTGACACTTCTACATCAAGGACAACCTTGAGAAGCCTGAGCTTTTTTTCCCTGATGCACGCTGCCCTCCCAATTCACATGACCTTGTTTGCATTCTGCATCATCAGATGATTCAGACCCTTTGTCACCAGGGACTCTGAGTGGGTATTTGTCTATGCACGCACCTTTACATGGCACACAAACCTGCTGAGGGAATTATAGACCTTGTGCCACTCCAACCTGCTCCCTGTGCTCTGATATTACTTGGCAATCACTTTCCTTCTACTGGCAGCAACCTGGTCAATCCTATAGCTCACCCAGGGGAAAGTGATGTTCCCACCCCAGTCAGGACAACTTTTACTCCAATCTTCCATCATAATGTGACAGCTCATTTCTCTAGAAAAAACTTTGTATCCCCCTCTCGCCTTCAGGAACACCCCACATACAGTAGCTGCTCCTCCTTGCCTCTTATTTATTCTCCCAGCACTGCTCTATTAAATGTGTTCATTCTGTGAAATAAAGAATATCAATCACAGCTTATATTGAAGTGTTTCTGTTGTTTGTTTGTTTGTTATCCATCCAAGAGCCTGTTGCAAATTGAATTTGAAGATTATGAACAGTAAGAATGGATAACTCACTGGAGTTCCAGGGAGGCCCGCTTTTCCTGCCGGCCCCGGTTCACCTGGCTTGCCCTGGGGCGCAGAGGAAAAAGAAAAGACAGAATGAGAAAACTGATGGGGAAGGACAGCAAGAGGAATGACTTGAGTGCGACTTTACGTCCAAATCTATCTGTCTGCTTGACACTGTGCTGCGTCTGTCTTCTGTTTGTGTCAGACAAAATGACTCACCGACTCTCCTCTTGGTCCACTAAGTCCTTCTCGGCCTGGAGGTCCCATAGAGCCCTGCGAAAACGAAAAAATAGTCAGTTTTATTACACTTCCACATGCTGAAAACAAAGACTTAATCATATCTCATCTTCAGGGCTGAAAAAAAAACTACAGGCTTATTCATTTTCTGGAAAAGAGCCTCAGCTGTGGTGGTGGGTTAAATTTGAACTACTCTTTTTGTAGAAGGAGTAGGTTAGGAAAGAAATGTTCTTACTTTTGGAGAACATTCTGTCTGCTCACAGCCAGAGGACAACTTAGGTAAAAAGGATTTTTTTTTCTGATGAAGTCTTACATCCTCCTTCTAGACAAATGGGAGACTTAAAGTGCTGCAGCTTTTAAACGTGCATGTGAGAGGGGTTTCGGTTCGTCATTGATGAATATGAACGGGATGAGACTCATTCAACGTCAAAAGATACGAGGCTCCTGTAAAATGTTACACTCTTAGTTCTGGTCTTCTTGTATTATACAGACAAGATTAAGGATTCTGTGGTCTGCTGGAAATTTTGCAGTCCGTCCAAAACTTATCTTAGGAGTATTATCTGCATTCTATCAATCAATGGAGGCTGGTTCCAGACAGCAATAATGATTATTCTCAGGGACCGCAAGGTGCCTTGGGAGTGGCTCCTTCTCAGCACTGGGTGACTGAGGGAGTACTGCATATGAAAGAATGTAGGGAATAATAGTGGTGGTATGTATATTGCCTTTATAAATGCATAAAAGATCAAAGGTGGATGCATATTCATTTGTTCCATGCTTTTAAAGCTATTCCATTCTATTGTATTCTTTTATGAATTTACTTTTTTATCATATGAATAAAGTCATTTTATTGCATCATCTCAGACCCCTCCTGGTTGGTATAATTTTAATGTATATGCACAGAATGAAAGTTGCAAGTCATGAAAAAAAAACACTAATATCTGATAACATACCTCCTTCCCTGGTTTGCCATCCCGCCCAGGTGACCCAGACTTTCCATCTTCTCCCTGTATAGCACATGAAAAAAATATGAAATAAGAGAAAGGATTACTTGACAGCTCAGAGGCAAATTTATTAAGTAGAAGTAGAAATACTTGGGTGAGAAAAGACTCCAGCAAAAGTAGACGTAGTGATTCGCCTTCGTTCCTCATGTAAAAGTGAAAAAGTATAAAAAGTAAAAACTACTCTCTTGGTTTCTCTGAAGAGTGTTTCTACCGACTGCTTCTTTGCAAAGCTTACTGAACCTTCAAGTAGGGTCGAGTCCTCCTGTTTCGTCTTGTTACATTCATACATTTTTCATGCGTGATATGCATCGGTCTTGATGTTGGGAAGGAGTGCAATAAAGCAAAAAAATAAAATAAATTGATAATTCCCTTCATGCATTAAAACTAAAGAGCCTGTTTTGAAAATGAAAGGAGTAGAAAGTACAGATATCCGTGTAAAAGCCAAGGGGGTAAAAATAAAAAAAATAGACCTACTCGAGTACAGTGCAGATATCTGAAAAAAACTACTTAAGTACAGCAGAGAAGTACTCTGTTACTTCCAACCCCTGTTTATAATAGAACCAATCGATCCTGTCTCTATTTTATAGCTAAGTTAAGGGATATGAAACTGAATAATGTGATGTACTGTAGGTTTTCTGGCAAAAATCTGGTTTGTTTGAGACAAATCCTAAATATTTCAGTTCTACACATATTGGCTAAAAAGTCCTGTTAATGTTTTTAACATAGCCTACTTATTATCGGTTTGTACTGTTTCAACCATGTTAGTCGATGGGGAAACTTTATTAGACAGCAGCAAAATTAGCATTTAGCAAGCCTTGGTAAACTAGGAAATTGATTTTATACTAATAGCTTTGAAAAAAAATAATGCAGGCTATTAGCAACATAGCATGGAGCCCTAAAACTGGCAATGAAAAATAAATAAATACATATTTTAATTGTAGTATTCCAGCAACTAAGAAAATGCTATGGAGGCAGGAGTATTGTGTTTTTACAAGTGGCTAATTTGTGTTAGCAAACAAATTTTTTTGGCATTAGCTTGCGGGCTAAAATGTTTTAGCTGCTGTTAAAAGAACTTGCTCGGTGAGTTTAGCTTACGTTTTCGTGTAAGCTAGCCTCAAAGTCTTCTACGTTCCCGGACATACATAAACATACCCATCTCATTATCATATAAGCATTTCAAATAATAATAATTCTTTTTTAAGCCCAAATGTAATCATCTCACTAAGTTTACTATGTGTTTAGTTGTGTTTCTGCCTCATCTGGTAACCTTTTACTGCCCTTTGTGGCCCTTTTGGCCCTCCATAATATATTGCTGTACTGCCCACAGAGGAGATGAGAGTGGACTTGAGCTCCACAGAGTTAATTATAAGGATCTATATGAAACTTCTAGATTATGCTGAGACACTGTGCTAAATCTGTACTTCTTATTGTGCGCAGCAACTTTGAATTTCTAGAATAATAATGAATATAATTTCTGTATGACTGATAATTTAGTGACCGTAATTATAAGCAGTGGAGCGTATTTCTCAGAGTGTCTATGGAAACACTTCTTCTAATAAGTTGTCTGCCGTCGGTGTGGCAGCGCGGGCTGCGGGGCTGCGGGGCTGAGGGCCTGCCTGCCTCGCTGTGGCTCAGTCAGAGCTGTCTGTAATGAGCCATGCTATTGGTCAGGGCGCTGTGGCAGAAACCTTTCCTGCGGGTGTGTGCTGCTGTGTGAGAGACAAAGCAGCAGGTGCAGTGATTCTCTCGGAGAAGGTGTGTGTAAAAAAGTGCCAGACATATCTTGACATCGCAGTGCGGCATGCCAAGAACTATGACTGTGTACTATTCCCTGAACTCCTGCAGTGAATAGTATCGGTTATGGCTTTTGAGCAGAGGAAGGTGTCTCTTTAAATGTATTAATATAATGTCAACTGGGATGATTCCAATTGTGTGGTCAATTATTTGATGACATTTATATGTTATGTCAGATTTTCATAGAGGACACATCAGTCTTGTAGAGACACTAATGCTAACTTAGATAGCAGTTCCAGCATGCAGCGCCCCTGTCAGTTAAACTGCACATCTCATGAAAACACAGTAAAAACACTGTAACCTGACATACAGAAAACTGCATCGGGGTGGATTTTCTGCTTTCCTCCACATTGTCAGACCCAGATTGTTCACATTTTTAAGGTCTGAACTGTTTCAATTGAATTTTTTTATTCATGGCACAACAGAAATCGGTGAATGTATTTGCAATTGCATGCACTATGTGGTATTCATTTACTTTGATTAAGTAAAGAAAGAAATTTCAAGCCTTAAAATTGTAAGTTAAATATTGTTTTGAGTCCAACACCACATGGAAAAAAGAAACTAGTACAATTTTACATATTAGGCTATTATGTCCCCTTCTCTCCCAATTTTTTATTGTAGCAATACGTTCCCAATTTACCAGACAGACAAGGCTCCCTACAGATGTGGAAGCACATCAGGCAGGAAATGGTGCTAAAGAATATCTAACAGCATTGTTTGTGTTCCAGAAAAACACCAATTATGTCTCTTAGATACAAACTGACCTTTTCACTTACACAGAAAACAAAAGGTAGCACACTAACCTTAGGTCCTGGTGGTCCAGGTTCTCCTCTGTGGCCCTTAAAGCCCTGTATAGGAAGAGAAACATCAGTGAATCAGCCACAGCAATTTGCACTGCCAGCTTCCTTTATCAGATATGTTTACTGGTGGTTACTTACTGGGAGTCCCCTGAGCCCAGGGTTTCCTGGTGGTCCAGGTTCACCTTGTTTGCCCTGAAATGAAAACAGATATAGTTACAGCATCTTTGTCTGGCCACATTATGCTATCAGATTTTTCTAAAACCAGACACTGTCTTTATATATTCTTTGGATCACTGACTTAGTAAACATCTCCATCTACTTACAGGCTCTCCTGTTTCACCTGGTCTGCCATCTTTTCCCATTTTTCCAGGCTGACCCTGCAGATCAATGAAACAGATCATTTTGCGTCTACCACTGTAAAGACCTTTAACTGCATTTACAACTCAGAGTGTTTATACCACACTCCATGTGTATTCATGATGCTGTACATCTAATTATTTTTCTTACAATCAAGCCAGGAAGACCCGGTGGTCCCTGGATTCCTTTGAGACCCTCTTTGCCCTAGTGAAAACAAACAAATAAACACAAACAGGTCACCGTCACCAAAGAAAAAGAAATGATTAATGGCTACTATTACCACACAGGCTGGCTGACCTACATGCAGGAGGGAAGAGGTCTGTACAATAATGACACATGGGTAATAAGTTTTCAGAGGGGAAAGTACATGGAGTGCAGCCTGACCTTTTCTCCAAGGGGCCCCGGGGGGCCGATGGGTCCGGGCTGTCCATCGTTACCCTTAAGAGGAAAGAGACAGTGTCAGTGGAGGTCAACAGAAATAGAAAGCCTGACCGTGAGACCAAATCCAATGATCCCTGTTTGCAAAATGCCTAAGCAGTCAGACCATTTCAAGTGCTAAAACGGAGAAAATAAGCCCAAAATGTGACTTACAGGTGTACCCATCAAGCCAGCAGAACCGGGATGGCCAGGGGGTCCTGGGTGACCCTGTTAATACACAATAAAGTGAAATATAATAATGTGATTCGTACCAGACATTATTGTAATGAGTGTTTCTTTAAACACAGAGAGAGGGGAAGCAGCAGACAAGCGCAAGATTCATGAGTCATAATCAACAAATATACCTTGTCTCCTTTTTCTCCAGGGCCACCAGGAGGTCCTCGATCACCTTTAATACCCTGTGGTGAAAAAGAAATGAAATGTCGCCCATGAAGAGGAAAGCGTCTGTCTGAGAAACAATTTGTCAACGGAAAAAAAAAAAACCTCAAAATGTTCAAAATATATCTACAGGGGAGGATGCAGCAATAGCTGTACTGCTTTTGAAATATGACTCAATACCTTTTTTGTTTTTACCTGAACCCTTGTAAGGTCAAAAAAAAAAAAAGGTTGACAAAAGCAATTCATTAGCATTAGGCTATTTGGGAGCCACAAGGGTGCAGTTAGTGTGCAAACTTGCCTTTCCACCGTCAGCTCCAGGAGGCCCTTGAGGTCCGGCTGGTCCCGACGGGCCCTGTAATGACACCAGAAGAGCATCAGTCTCTGTCCCGGCAGTCACCGGGGTCCTAATCGTTCACTGCTGCCCCCAGAGGAGGCCAAGCTAATGATGTGGACAGAGTCCCTCCATCGGTCACACCAACAGTGACAGATGATTTCAAACATGTAGCTAGGACCTCACGCTCACTTAGGGCTAATGCAGCTGAGACACACACTTTATAATGCTCCTTTAAAGATGAGCAGAGTTATCATAATAGTCTTCACATTACACGAGACGTGATATTGATATTTCAATATTAATGACTGTGTCCTACTTGGTAACCATCTTGACCGTCTTTCCCTGGAGATCCCTGGTGTCCTTTGTCCCCTGGGACCCCTGGGAGACCGGGTGCTCCAGGTGGACCTGCAGGGCAGTCTGAGCATACGTCCTAAAATGTGGCAGAGACATGTTTTTGGATAAAGCAATCAGTGTCAGGGTCCACAAACATAAAGTCTTTTCTCATTGAAGAGGGGTGGAAATGCTCCTTACCTTCAGGTTTAGGTCAGAGAGGTCTGCCGCCTTTCCCTGAGAGACAATGAATCAGAGAGTTAATCAAAGAATGTAGGATTAGTGGTCTCTATTAAGTAGGCGACCCAGGGTTCCACTCCAAAAATGTCCTAGTGCATTTAGTACATGCTACATGGCCTAAGGTATGGCCAAAACAACAAAGAATAATATCAACAAAGATCCTCTTAGCTTCCATGTAAGCGAGATGCTGTCAGCTGTTTCAGGTGAAGAAAAACAACCCCATTTTTTCCCACCTTGCTCTCAAACTTGCAGCTAACAGTGCAATACGTAGTTCACCCACATTCTCTAACGCCATGAAACTATACTCCTGTTTTCAGGATAATTAAAATACTAGCTCGAGTTTCAGCTCATAAACTTTGTCTTTACCCTCTGACATTATCTGTCCAATAGACACTGCTTATGTGCAACTCCCAACAGAGATCAAATGGTAGCATGATAGCTCACTCTTTAGCTACTAGAAAAACTAAGGTGTTTCATTCTTTTTTCCCACTTGCCCGATGGGAGTTGCTTGACTGACTAGCCCGAAGTGGTATTTTACTTGCCCCTTGCAAGTGGGCAATCCTTATTGTTAAGCTCTGACTCTGCTGCTGTAAAAGCCTTCTGTTCCTTCCACTCTTTTGGATTTGCTCCCATTCAGCCACAAGAGAATTAATGAGGTCCAACACTGATATTGAGTGATGAGGTCTGGCCCACAGTTAGTGTTCCACTTCATCCCTGAGGTGCTGGACAGGGTTAAGGTCAGATCTCTGTGCAGGCCAGTCAAGCTCTTCAACGACAAACTGGGAAAACCTTTTTCTTTATTGACCATGCTTAAGGTGGTATAGCCCAAATCATGAAAACCAGCACCAGACCAAGAGAGCATGTGTCTGAATACTTTTGACCAAAGAGCACATGTATCATCGATTTAATCTATTTTATCCGACAAGTCAACAAAAGAAGGTCCTTGGATTTAAAGCATGCACTCAATGGCTACATATTGCACTGTGTCACTGGTGTTTCCGTTTAGTTAACTTAAAGTCCCTAAAAAATGGAAGTTTCATTTTGTGTTGATTCTGGCAGCCCATGTGAACAAGAGCGGTACTGTTTCTACCGCCTTGTTTTACTGATCTCAACATTTCTAAAGTTTTCCTGCTGGACACAAGATGTCTCCTACTTCACTGTAAAGTCAATTCTCAGTGGATGTGCACTGGTGGCTTCAAGTTTCTACATCACACTGTACAAGCTGTATACTGGACCAGGACTGACTTCTTTAAAATCTGATTTTCAGTGAGTGCAGAGAAATTTTCCACTTTCAGCAGATGAATGTGAAAACATCCTTCCAAACGTTTTCTAAATGTATTGTTATCAGTTAAAAAACTCTTGTAGTATAACTAGTTTAGAGATAAACCTAAAATATACTGCATCACTTGTGTACATGGAGAAAGTTTATTAGTACATGATCATCCTCTACATATATCTCACTTTATACAGTATTCAGAGGACATATTGAATATAAAGTGAAATAAAGTAGTTAAATTTCTCTATTATCTGTTATTACAACCAGCAGCACAGATAGTTCTGGTTGTTCCCTGCCATTGTGTACTTACAGGCTCTCCTGGAGATCCCTTCTCTCCCGGTCTTCCTGGTAAACCCTGCACGTGGAGCAAAGTCAAAGAATTACATTTTCCAAATAAATCAATATATCAAATAAATAAATAAGGCATTAAGAAACAAATAACCTAAGACATGTGCATCAAATGATTTACTTATTTATTCAGTCATTCGCTTTTAGACTCACATTATGTCCTGCTGGGCCCTGAGGACCGGCGACTCCAGATGGACCCCTCAAGCCCTGGAACCCGGATAAACACATATTAGAGGAGCACATTGTCATAGACATAAACATATTTAATATTAATCTTTAGAAAATATTTACCGCAGGTCCAGGTTCCCCATTATTTCCTGGAGGCCCCTGCAAAATAAAGAAAGATTGCACATTTCAAAATGTGTAAATAAATGTGCCAGAGGACAATAACGTGTCACCAGCTGGTGTCGATGCTCATACCGGTAGTCCCATTTTGCCTTCTCCTGCAGCACCCCTGTCCCCTGGTAACCCTGGTTCTCCTCGTGACCCTGGTTGACCCTGGTAGGGGAAAAAAGAGTTTACTTTACCACCCTGCTCCTCAGATAATGTCAGTTCAGCTGTCATGTTTGGCTAAGGGTCTCGCTTGGCACAAAAACTCAGTCAGCGATGTGTGCTGATCCCAGAAATACCACTCAGTTTTTAATCTGCGATGGAACAAAAATACAATCTGCAGTTGACATTTTGGTACTCAGAAGAGAAAACGTATCACTGATGAGGGTGAGCGATTTGACACCATAAATCCCCCAAATGCTCCGGTCCAGCCGCTCCCACTCTGTGCCCTAGACGTGCAGCGAAGAGACGCTCATAATCAGAGCAATGGTCACACTGCGGTGGACATAGAAATTGCTTTTGCTGCTTTCAACAAAAATGAATTGTTTTTCTTATACGTGGCAGGAAAAAAAAAGAAGTTCACATCAACAAAAAAGCACCTGTGCATGATAAAAAAACCCACCTCAGGAAAACTACAAAGCTTATACACACACACACACACACACACACACACACACACACACACACACACACACACACACACACACACACACTTTCTTGCAAACTTTTTAAATCACATTACCTTTAGCCCTGGGGGTCCTTGAATTCCCTGTGGTCCTGGATCTCCCTGTAATATCACAAAAGACATCAATCAAATTTCTTGCTACTCAAACACTGAAATTAAGCTTCTTTTGAATAAATCATTTAAGCCTTGAAAGTGTGTATGTGTTGCCATTCTTCTTGCACATAACTGTGGCGAGGCCTCAGGGCCGCACCTGGCAGCTGTAAAAACCAGGAGCTGCTGCGAGGCGAATATGTTGTGCTCCTGTGTGTGTTCTTTAACGTGATATGTCTTAACAGTGTTTTTCCTGTTTGTTCCTGCCTCGTCAGCGGGGCGGCCATATGTCTGGGGTGAAAAATGATGAAGAAACATGTTGGGCTGGAGCATGTTGCCTACTCAGCCTTGTTTTCCGCCCATACAGCCAGTCATATTGTGCTGTGGTTCGACATGTATTACAGGCGAGGAGATGTTTACAAGCAGAGCACATGTGGAATGCAAGAGACTGCTCGTTAATGAGGTTTCTATTACTGTTAGGAATAACGGAGAGTGAACTGATGAATATGTATTTCTACCATTAAAAATATAATAATAATAATTTAATATACCTTTACTCTACTTCTTATCTGTTAAACCTCACTAACCAGTCCTTAGAAACTTTGTATTACACAGAACTTTTTTAAAATTCTAGTGGACATTCAAAAGTTTGCAAAGATACTAAATGTATCTGGAAATATGTACAACGTGATGCATTTGATGCAATGTTGCTATAAAATCAGGGAGTTTGAAAGTTTTGCTGAGATCCGACACGATTGGATTCAACACAGTGTGATTCAACGTGGTATGATATGATGCAAAGGAACACGAGGCTATTCAATTCAGTATGTTACAGACAGTTTGATTTTATTTCTTTGGTTCTTCTAAAGCAGCTTCAGAAAGAGTTTAAAGAAAACAAAAATATAATAATTAAATACAAAATTATTGGTCACAAATGATTGTACACATTATTAAAGGCAAAGGGCATCTACTAATAATTAAATAAATTAGATTTTGCTGGTGCAAAGATGTCAAAAACAACACTATATATATATATATATATATTGTGTGACAAAAAAATAAGTGTCTTACACGTTGCCCGTCTTTCCCTTTCCCTGGTGGTCCAGGGGGTCCAATCAAACCGGGCTCTCCAGGTGGGCCTGCGGGACCTTGTTGTCCTGGTTTACCTGGATCACCCTAAAACAAACGTAACAATACAGGAAGAACTTTTTAAAAAAATGTTGTGATCTTCATTGTGATCAGAGGTAACCACACCGTCACACCCTTGGAGAACAGATACTGTGTCACTTGTGGAAAAAGAGAAAATGAAGCAAATGAAAACAAAGAGAGACAGCAGAAAACATTCTGAACCGCTCTTGTAAAGCTGCTGCTGTTGGATTGAAATGAATACAAAGACTTCTCTTCTGAAACAATAACGGAGGACATACAAGGTCACTCTCTCTCTGCTGCACTCTTGTTTTCACTCTGCATTGCCAAAACCATTCTGAACATAGTTTGAATGCTTTCAGAAAAACATCCAACCAAATATAGCTTTTGAAAATGGGTGACTGACCTTGTCTCCTCTCTGTCCAGCTGGACCGGGAGGCCCAATGATCCCTGGTATGCCCTAGAAGAAGACAGACAACTGGTAGTTCGACGCTGAAGTGACCTCTTCATATTTCATATTACACACACATCATTCTTGTACCGTCACAGAAACTGTTTTTTTTTTGTTTGTTTTCTGTTTAGAGAAAAACCTACCACATTCCCCGGTAATCCACGAGAACCTTGAGGACCAGCTAGGCCAGGTGGACCCTGGGAGAAACACATCAGCCATTATAGTTGGTACAGAACAGTGCATCTTGTATTTGGTGTGTTCTAACAAATCAGACAACTTACAGGGTCTCCAACACGCCCCGTCTCTCCTGTAAGTCCCGTGTCACCTTTAGGACCCTGGAATAAGAAGAAAATTAGACATATTCCACTTCACGTCACTCTACAGCACATTGGCTGGGAAGTACAAGCCCGCTAACGTCTTACCGCTGGTCCAGGCGGTCCCTTAAAGCCTTGTTCACCTGGCAACCCTCTTTGACCCTTCAGAGAAGAATTAACACACAAGTTTTAATAGTGTAAGCCTACATGCCGAATATAGGTACGTTTTCACATATTCTTGTCAAAATTATTATGTCATGTTCCTCATAAAACCTCTGTGAGGACTGTTATGATGTTCCAGATGACAAAGATATCAAATTAATGAGGGCTGTGCAATGAAGTTTGCAGATAATAACGACATCCATGCATGAAGAATTACCACAATATTCTGTGACAAAATGAATGACTCATTATTCATCATCTTCATGGGGTGCTTGAGAAAGTCAAAGATAATGGAAATACATTATTGTACATAATGTATTTGAGCTGCTATCAGGGCAACTTCAACCTAAATATACCAATATATTCTGTGTTCTATTCTGGTCCACTGTTTCATATTGTACAGCCATAAAGTGAAAAGGAAAGAGAATCAGGCCGGTGTATTACATTGTCTTACACTTTAATTTACTCAGCCAATTAAATAAAGTCCCCTGAGCTCCCTTTTTGTAGCAGGGCTGCTTCACTGTTGCCACACCGAATCTCTACTGACATCTAGTGGACTCCTCTGCACATTGCCTGATGTGATGTGGTTACATTAAAGGGAAGAAGACAAGACAACAAGAAAATAAATAAATAATAAAAAACTCACAATCTCTCCTGGTTTCCCTTGATCCCCCTTCTCTCCCTTCTCTCCAGGTTTCCCCCTAGAGGCAAGAACAAACAATGCAATTAGAAGTTTCAGTGGAAAAGAATAAGTAGGTGAAGAGAAGAGGAAGAACTGAAGAAGATTAAAGGATCATATTAAAAGCCAAACCTTTGAAGTATCAGCTAAAAACAAAAAATAGCTCTAAAATCCCATTAATTTCCAACAGAGTTTGGTCTGTGTAATAAAAGAAGTCTACTCACAGGTTCACCAGGCTCAGGGATGACATTTGCCACCTGGGAAGAAACAACAGACAGCATCACTGACTGCATTCCCTCCGTCATGGTTATGTCTTACATTGCCTGACTGTTAACATGCAGAAACAGCAGAAATTGTCCTTACATTTCCTGGAGTGCCAGGCAGTCCCCTAGCTCCCACTTCACCCTGAGACAAGAGACAATATGTTCACATTGGCTGTAGACTAATGACCTTATTACAGCTAATACTGAAAGGCCATTACAGAGACAGAAGAGGACAACTCTGTAGCTACTGTAACACGGTAGGCACAGCAAGAATTCAGCATTTGTTTTTGCTCGACATTTAATTTTACCTTGTATGGTTGTACAGCATATGAAGCAGGTTCCTTATTTCTTATTTACCTTGTCACCCTTATCACCTTTTGGCCCAAATGGTCCGTCCTGTCCTCGTTCTCCCTATGGAAGAAGAAGCCAAAATTGTAAACATTGCTACAGACCATATATAAGCCCTTCAATACAGGCAAATAAGGAAAGTTTTTAATTGGAAGTAGGAAGTCAAGAGCAGTGCGTCTCATAGTGGCATTTGGGGATAGCTCGAGGGCTGCTGGGTGTCCCAGGAGGTTACCCAGCCAAAATTAGGAGCAGTTCATTTCACTATATTATTATGCAACAGAAATTATTTCTGTTGCATAATAATATAAGAGTGGCCTGAGGAGGATGTCTCCCCAAGTTGTAGATACTAACCGATTAATATCCACAGTGGAACTTTATAATTTCCTTTACAGCACTTAAAGTAAACTCTGAGCTAAGCACAAATCTACTGACATCTTTCAAATAGGATAAAGTATGAGGCTACAGCACAAGTTCAACATAATCTCATAATCATTTTTGACACACATATTCTGGAGTCAACATGGATTCAAAAAGTAAAATAATAACCTGTTGCTTTTTCTTGGTCCAGTATTGTCATTGTGCAGACCTAAGAGACATTTTGGCTACGTACACACTGCAGGCACAAGTTGCCCAAATCTGACTTCTTTTTTTTTTTTTTTTGCTCAAATGTGACGCATTCAATTCTTCACTTCAACTTTCACATGTGGTCCAAATCAGATACAGCTCAGATTTTTTTGCAATGTGACCTCAGTGTGAACAGTAATATCAGAATTCACATAACTTTTATTTTATTCTAGATAGACAATCGTAATGGGCGTCAATTCAGTACTGTGACTGGGCGTCACAGATCGATATAAATGACCCAAACAAAAATTACAATAAATCTGTGACTTGTATTCCTATAAATGAGTCACTCTATGGAATAAAATAACTGGATATATAAAATGGCTGAACAGCCAAACAAAAAATTAGGTTAGCAATAAACTCATTTGTGTGACTTTATGGGACACTTAAATTGTAATAGGCATCTGGTTATATAATGCCTATGGGACTAAAATGAGAACATTTTTATTCATGAAAAATGGAGTTCAACAGGCAGTAGGCGACCACGTCTATTAAAAAAACAGCTCATTTCAGGAAAAAAAAGATCTTATTCTCAGGCGATTATACAGTAATGAAAACACAACTATGAAAAGGTTACACACTGGACCTTTAATGGAACAGAGCTGCATTACTGTTATTAAGTCTGTCTGTGTTTGACCTGCTGTGAAAAAAGCCTGCTGTGCAAACAGTCCATTAAGACATACTAAATACGTGAAATCAAAAATATGTGGGGCTTTTCCTTAACATACTACAAATAATCATAGTTAGTCATTAATGGCTAAACAGCTCAAAACTAAACAACATGCAACAACTGTAAAATGGGATTCAACCAATGAACATATCCTGGTGATGCTTGATAATAAGCTTGTAGTAAAAAGGTGTAGGCACACTTACCGGAACACCCCTATCCCCTCTTGTTCCATCAGCACCTGGTTGTCCAGGGGAACCAGGTTCTCCCTGTGGGAAAAAAAGACAAACATGTGAGTCATGATAAAATACTGTATGTTTCATTATACTACAAAATATTCCACACTGAAAAAGTCAGTGTGAACTCACTCTCTCCCCTGGGGGTCCTCTTGGTCCGGGAGGCCCGTCGTCACCCTGGGGAGAAGACACAAGGCCATTAGAATGTCAAATTTGCATATGGAAAGTACACACACTATCTCATAAGCTGCATATGTCTCCAGTCATCGCCCAGTGTGTTCCTGGGTATGATTAAGTCACAGTACCTTAGGTCCAGACTTGCCAGGAAAACCATCTGCTCCGCGCTCTCCCCTGGGCCCCTTCAGAGACACAAGATTTCGATTTAGATGTCATACTTTCAAAAACCAGTGTTTGCCAGAAACATCTGCAGATACTGAACGTTGTAAAGGTAAACCCACCACAACTCAGAAATCCATAAATTAAATGTTTGTTGCTTATTTTTTATTGCTTACTGCTAGTTACTGAATTTGCTCTTTTGTCTTCCTTTAAAACAGAGATGTAGGCAGTGACTCAGAGGTCTGGAACCAGGCTAGTAGTTGCTAATTGCTTCATATTGGGTTTCTTGTCGAAGTTTACACGTTTGGTTTCTTTAGCCTTCTCCACTCTATATCTAAAATATACGTGCTTCTCAAAAAAGCAATATGGAGCACATGACAGCACCTATGACTTGCAGCTTAGAAGAAGCTTATTAGAAGCCTTAGTCAATAATATTGCAACGGTTACAGTGACAAAACAATATTTATTTTTACGTCCACTTGGGGACAGAACTCCACAACAAGCTGGAAAAAAACACATTTGACATATTCTGGCGTTTGACATGGCTAATGTGTTAGCAAACAGTGTCCTATTTCCACATCTAGCAAGCAACTAAACCAGGTCTTAAGCTTAAGATGCTAAACTTTGTTCACCAGTTAGTTGCTAACTTTGACTGCTGTGTGGTGTGGTGACTGAGAGTGAACAGTATACATGCAGGCTGTGAAACCAAAACAACGAGCTAAAAGATGCTAAAAAAGCTCCATAGAGCTGAGCAGAACTTCCGATCTGAGGGATGACTCTCTGTTGTTTTCATCACTATATCACTATATACTTTCACCTTACAAATAGTTATTTGAGCCATTGTTTTTAAATTTTGAACTGGTCCAGCTTTAAAGTAACCAGAAGTTTGTTCACTGTGAACATGAAAGGCAAAAGAAAAAGAAAGTTATTCTAAAGGTCATACTGACCATGGCACCGTCATTTCCAGGAAGACCATCCAGACCATCTTTACCAGGAAGACCCTGTGAAGATCAGTGAAAAAAGGTTGACATTCAGTGACATAAACAGGGAAACAAGAACAGAGATTTTTTTAATTGAGAGTAAAAGGCCAGCTCACAGGCTTTCCAGGCTCTCCAGGTTTGCCTGAAAATCCAAGTTCACCAGGTAGACCCTTCATAAAGAAAGAACAGTTATGTGAATATGTTCTGTGTCATTTTGCTTCCAAAAGAATGATCATATTTAAGAATTATTGTGGCTCGAGTGTGTGTGTCTGGTCACGTACAGGAGGTCCAGTGTGTCCTTGGTTTCCTGGTGGCCCAGCTGGACCCTGAGGACCCTGCAAAATCAAAAAATATCATCAATGAAAAATGTCACTTGATCATCATCTCATAAATACACTAACATAATGTAGGTTTTAAAAGTATTTATATGTTTTGGAGAGAAATAATATAAACAAATACGCAATACATTTGGAATATTTTCTGGCCATATATGTTAAAAACAAATACTCAGATTTTCCCCAAAGCTTTTATTCATACAGTATGGACCGCTAACAGACACATTAGTACCAGTGAGCAGCCACTAGAGGGGGGCATTATAGCACTGTTTACAGCTCATTCAACCTTGGATACCGCTTGAAGACAGGTGTATTTCTATGTTGCTCCAGGGAGTCATTTGGAAAATTAATAGACGTAACCTGTTGGTTTTAATCTAGCCTGTTTATTTTCCCTCTATTAAAACACACAATGAAGACACCTTGGAGAGAGCAGTAATTTTGTGCTTTGTGGGTCACATCAAATGTTGCGCAACCCACACAATTAAAATACCAAATGAATTCTCCTCAGTTCTCCTTGAGAGGTCATTGAGGTGCAAGAACGAGCACTGACAGGAGCTGTACATAAACAACAGTGTCATTTTAAACAAGTGTATTACCAATATGTGTGTACATTTTGCTTGCTAGGAAACTGAAATTGTTCTTACAGGCGGTCCAGGAAGGCCATCCACTCCAGGAAGTCCACTCTCACCCTTCTTTCCCTGAAAGACAACAGTTAAATGAAATCACTACATTAAAAAACATTCAGTACATAAAGGTGAGCTGTTTTCAGGCTGTAGCTACTACTGAGGAGGCTGAGGTCATGTCTTCTCTATTATTTCTTTCATATTGAGGTTGCTTAACCCATTCTTCGGCCCATTCCAGTATTTTTAAAGCAAGCATTATTCTATGCTGTTCTGGCAGGGTAGAGCTTCGACCTCAAAGCTGGAAAATAAGTTAAATAAATTAAGAAATAAAACCGTAATTTCAGCAATTAAAGCCGAAACACATTACCTACATCAAAACTGAGTTAATGCTAATGTCTTTAACACCTGTTGTAACATGGAAAACATTATTATGCCACAAAAATGTTCAATGTCTGTATAAATGTATAGCTCTAGAAAATGCTGTCACAAGAAATAGACAACTATAGTTACATTATATTAAATGAAGGCTGGCTGGTCAGTTAGCCACGGCTAGCCTTAGCTAAAGCTAAAATGTACTTACAGATTTTTTTCCCTTAGTGCTGTCTGTCATTGGGAAATATTGATTTTCCAAATAAAAATGGACGGACATACGGTGGCCCTGAAAGCTCAATGCACAGAAGAAAACATACAGATAGGTAAAACTAAAATCAAACAATTTAAGAAAACATCTTCATCTTCATACATACATACATTTAAAGCCACAGTTTCCGTTGCCGTCTGCGCTACCTGCAGCATTTCTGTATTTGTTTGTGTTTTGTCACATTTTTTTCTAAAAATAATGGACATGTGTTGAAGTTGGTGATGTTTCCTTAATTTGCTTATGTTTTCTCTGTTTGCATGTGTTTTCTTAAGTTGCCTTGAGTTCTCAGAGTCAGACAGACACAGCAACACAGACATTTAATCCATTGAATCCCTATGAACTTTAACTAAATAGTCGAAATTAAAGAAAGCTAAAAGAATACATTTTCTGTGGATACTGTTTTTTCACTTGCACTCCCAGAATGTCTCCTTCTGCATTATCTGCATATTATTACCACTGACTCTTTATTTTATTTTCTTACTTATTTTCTGCTTTATTTTCCTTTCCCCCCTTTGCTTTTTCCCCCATGTCTTTTCTTGATGTAATGTTTTATATAATTATTATTATCATAATATTACTGGTAGTACTGTTAATTTATTTTACATTCTCATTATTCAGTTTTTTTGTTCTTTGGTTCATCTTTTTGCTGTTAATATTCTGTGTAAAACAGAACAAATAAACATGGAGGGAAAAAAACTACATTTCCATAAGAAACACAAGAAAATTCTGGCACATTTGCTTTTTAATCTATTTGTTGTCTTATTTTTCTTCATATGTTTGTTGATGCTGTCCTCTGCAGCCCTTTAAGACTCTTCACATTCCAGCCCAGCTGCCCTCAGCTGTCATAGCAGGATAGAGGTGAATAGACAGGCGTCAGCAGCCGCGACACACACAGCTGATGAGAGCTTTGCTGCAGTGGAGGTGAGAGTGCCTCAATCTATACCAACTCAACCATACAGCCCACTCTATCAGCACTGGCAGCAGTGGAGACCACCCTATTATCACAGCTCTCAGCTCTCAACCTTCACAACCCCCCCCCACACACACACTCTCCCTGTGCATCTTCAACTGAGGTATAACAACCCTAAAGCTGGGGAAAATAGGTCAAGCTCCTCACCATCTGTCTGTTTTTTAGGATTTAAGCATCCTATTGGGCTGTGAAATGCTTCAGCGGGACCTCCAATGATATTAAAAAATAAAAGCAAGGCAGAGGCAGATTTTCTAGATATTGTGGTATCTGAACCCAGTGTGATCGCTTTATTCATGTTAATAAACTATAAATCCCTCGATCTCAGAGAAGCTTGTTTGGCTGAGGACAAAGTGCATTCTGCTGGAAGAGAAGTCTTTCATTCGTGGCCAGAGGAGGTTTGCCTTGCCTCTGCTGCCCAACTGAGCAGCTGCAAATGTTGATTCCAACATATTGCTGATGAGAAGTTAATTGCTCCCAGTAGAGAAAGGGGATGGAGGTCACTATCTTTGTTAATGTTTTGGAAGAACAAATTATGTAGAACCACTGTGTCTATGTTAATTACACACTGCTGTGTGATGGGGCCAGTGTGAGACAGAGGGAAGAACAATATGAGAATAATTCTACAACACTGATAACAGCTACAGTATAAACCCTCATTAGCATGAGGAATAAATATCAGTTTTCTTAATTCAAGATAATCCCAGTAGAATATGATACATATGCTTATGAGTCTACAATATAAACTTCCAATTACTGCATATTAGAATTCTGTTCTACAAGAGCTTCTCTGTGGACATAATAATCTCATTTTAGTCAAAACTCAATGGATTGTATCCAGGTGTCAAAATATTTCCTATGTATTTTTGTTTCAATATCACAAAATTATTGTTTTGTGATTTAAGCATTACAAGGTTTGATTTCTTGTAATCTCAAAAAGAGTCTGTTATTTGTGGTTACAAGTAACCGGTGTCAATTTTCTTGTGAATAAAAAGACGTTTGTGATGCAAACCTGTTTGAAAAGCATAATTGCTCCCAGGGATAAGACAGGACAACGCGTTCTCATTCCCAATGCGACAAATACTGCCGTTACAGCCCTCTGCTTCAAAATATGATGCTGTAGGTGCCCCTCAGGATCATTTCTGGACACACAGGATGGAGGAAAGTCCTGTGTTTGTTTGACCCATCCAACCACCCCACCTCCTCCATGTGCGGACTTCCTGGCTCTTTGTAATATGTGTACCGGGAGCATCCATAAATAATGCTGAAAGATGGAGCCCCCCCTGTCATATTTTGATGCGGAGGGCCACTGACCAAGCAGCAGTATTTGTCGAGTTGGGACTGCGACTGGGCCAGACAGGAGTTTGAATTTTCCTGCAAAAACACTTTAAGCTAAAACTAAAAAAACGTTTTGTTTTCACTATATCCTGACAGTAGCACATGAGACAGATAATCTGTAAAAAATAAAAATTAGGTTCCTCTGGCTCCTCCTAGTGCTTCTAATGTCATTTGTAAGAATCTACTAGGTCTGAACGAAAATAAGCAATCAGAGCTGAGAAAGGTAGGAAGAGGCTTTAGGTTGGTGGCTTGAAGATGGTTGATTATTGAGTTTCATTCCCAATATCGATATTCGACAACCTAGGAATGAGACTCAACAATCAACTATCTTTCTCTGCTCTGATTGGTTGTTTTCATTCAGATATGGTGGATTCTTGTAAATACCATTAGGAGCACTAGGACGAACCAGAGAAACCTGATTTTTTCACTGATTATCTGTCTTATGTACTATTTTCAGGATATAGTGAAATTTACAGCAAATATGACATAAAGTTATTTTTATAAAAGTTACCTACTGCAGCTTTAAGATTCAAGATTCAAGGAGCTTTATTAATCCCGAGGGAAATTGCTGTGCAACAATTGCGATACAAAAGTGGAGAAGTAATACAAGAGTAAGAATCAAGCTAGCATAAAAAATAAAACAAGTAACTAAATGCAACAAAGTGCAAAGCACAATAGGATAAAGCTAACATAAAATAAAGCACAACAGTAACTAAATGCAAGTAAAAGATAGGGTTAAGGAAAGATCATGGATTCCATTACTTTTAAATAAAATAAACTTGCTGCAGCTCATGCTTTAAGTAACTGTTGACTTTTTACCTTAACTAAGTGTGGGCATTACGGACATTCATTAACAATGTTTCCTTATTATGTTAGTAAAAATGTAATCCACACACATTACGTTTCTCTCAAAATGTGTTTGTTCTTGCAATTTAGTCGTATACACATGTAATTACTAGGAGACAAGGTTAAAATGAGCCTTTCATGTTGTGATTATGAAATAAAGAAACACACAACCTACAACTTGTCACTTTACATAAATACATGATTATGTCCTCCTCTGGCTTCATTAGAGGTAAGAGAGGATGAAGCTGATACAAACCCTATGATCTAGTCAGGTGTTCTACCAAATCCTAACACTAACCTAACTATCATAGCTCAATACATGAGATTGTCCATGAGACATGAGTGTAAAGGTCTGCCATCTGAGATGGTGTGACTATGCAATCCCATATAAAGTTAGAAATTAATAGTTATGATATAATAATAATAAATTCAGATTATTAGATTTAATTATGCATACATAAAAAGAGATAATGGTGGATTGGCACTTAAGATTCCCTTTGCAATTCAAATGATATTAATACAGCTGAAGCCAAACACAACAGAAAAGGTACATGCAGGTATTAAACAACTATGTATGTTATTGAGCATCTCCTTTGTAGTATAGGCTATCAGTACTTAAGTGATGAAGTACTGTGGAGAAGAAATGTTCAGATGGTTCCATCAAAATGAGCTTCTTACCCTCAGGCCGAACTCTCCAGGTTCCCCAGGTAGACCCTGTAGACCCGGAGGACCCTGAGGAATCAAATGTTCAGCTACAGTTCAAAGGGCACAACTGCTGTTTTCATGAACTGCTCAGCACTGAATCTGAACAGGTGTTTCTTTCACAACAACAAAATATCCAAAGCTTAACAGCGACACAGAGGACACATGAAGGAAGTAATAAATCAGGATTCTTACAGGAGGCCCTGGATGGCCCTGGGCCCCAGGAGGCCCAGCAGGTCCAGGTTCTCCCTAAAACAGGTCAAACACATGAGTAAGCTATAATACTGGAATAAGAGTTACAGTTTAAACCGTCCTGTTGAAATGATTTGGATAGGAAACCATTTAAAACATACAGTATGTGCATTGAAAGTTCATGTTTTTGTGTTCATGTTGATGACTGCATTGGAATGACTGGATTTACTCTGCATTAATAATATGCTACCCAATATGCTTTTCCTAATATACAGTAGTTAGGAAACTTTATCATAACTAATACTATGAGGTAGTCTTTGATCTTTACTACATGATTTAATTATTGAACAGTTACTCACCTTTTCACCTCGTAAACCTTCTTTTTGAAACTGAAATAAGAAAAGATGGACAGCTATGTTATTTTCAAATGAGTATCTCATTGTGTTACCTTGGTCTAATTAGATAAGGCCATGGACAATACAACTGGTTACCCTTCGCTAGTCACATAGCACATCTAGAAAAATATAATGTTGCTTCAGAAACAAAATAGACTGGAAGAATGTGTTCTCCTGTCTGCCATAGGGGTGGGAATTATTTTCATTATATTCAAATTGCTCATTATGTTTTGATTAATAATTTATTTATAAAATGTCAGAAAATAGTCAAAAGGCTCGCTACATTTCCAGTACGAGAAGCATTAAAATTGTTTGTTCAAAACCCCCCACTATTATGTTCCTCCTTGACATGTAGCTAAACCGACACTGTTCCAATTGTTTAAAATGACTAACCTCAACCATGTTGTCATATCAACATTATTATCTGTGTATGTGTGTGTACGTTTACGTGTAATAGGATGTGTTGTCTTTTCTGTTATTGTTTTTTGCTGACATAAAGTGTACAGAGACTCTCCAGGTGATGTGCACAAACTGAAGTCAGTGATCAAACTGAAGTATATGGCCAAGAAAAGCATCAGCATCTTCATATTTTAGAAGCTGGGACTGGCAAATTTTTCACAATTACTGAAATGATTAATCAACTATCAAAATGGCTGCTGATTTATTTCTGTCTAATCAGTTAATTAACTAATCATTTTGCTTCTGTCTGGGGAACAGCACCCTCTCTAGAGAATGTACTTTCAGCTAAAGAACAAGGTCAGTAGATCAGTCTTGTGCATGATTATCTGGTTTGTTTGAAGTAATAATAATACAAATGCACAACTGAAGATGTACAATACATTTTTGTGTTTGTTTTTTCAAAATGCTGTTCTGGCTCCATCACTCCATTATGTTCTTCATTGCTAAAGAAGCCAGAATGATAAGAACATAATTCTTCTTATATCCTTTTGGTCTATTTTTGGTACTTACCACATCTCCAGGTAATCCGGGAAGGCCTCTCTCCCCCTGTGACATAGTGCACACAACAAGGATGATACCCCCGTCATTAGAATCAAGAGACTTTCAGAATGAAGCACCTCAGGCAATATGGTAATGATACAGTAACGACCATAATTTATGAGATGACGCGTGTGTACTTAAGGCCTAAAGGAAAGTGAAACTTGTGGCTAAAGTACCATGGCAATTCTTTGTGCATGTGTGTATGTGTGCACCCTTGTGCATGCATATGGGTGTGGTACAAGTATGTGTGCACCACTGGAAGAATCCTCAAAGTCAGTAATTACAGACAGACAAATGAACTCTGCATTTTATTTTCTCAGACAAATGAGTGGGCTGACTTTGATGGTACACAGAGGAGACTGGGGAATGTCTGAGAGTGCAGACAGTAGCATGGAAAAATGATTATACCTCTTTGAAATGATTTATCAGTGCAGCTTAATAACATTATGCTTACAGCATTATCCTCTTTGAATTGTTTTTAATCAAGTGAGCAGAGTGTTTTGTATACAGCACGGGAGCGAGAGCAGCATACCTTGGTGCCTTTAACTCCACTGGGTCCGGGTGTGCCAGCCAGTCCTCTCAAACCCTAATCAATTTTAGACAAAAGCTTCATTAATACAAAGGTGACTCACACAATCCGTCACAGATGAATATCTGGGGTTTGTTTATCTTAGGCAGAGGATCACAACTTACATCTTTCCCAGAAACACCAGATTTGCCAGGTAATCCATCCAAACCTGCCTCGCCCTGAAATGGAAACAAGTGTACAAGAAAACATGTATAAAGTATTGCTAACTGTGGAAGACAATGTAAGGTTCAATAAGGCCTAATTCCGTCTATGTTAATAAATAATTAATAAATATCTGTTGTACTGTACTGCGTGTGCAGCTACCATGGCAAGAAATTCAAATGTTGGTACTGTTGGGTCTCTGTAATTAATGTTAAAGAGTTCGGTCTAGACCTGCTCTATTTGAAAAGTGTCCTGAGATAACTTCTGTTATGATTTGGCGCTATACAAATAAAATTGAATTGAATTGAATTGAAATGTCATCAACAGAAAATCCAAGTAAAAAGATCTGTCAGTAACAAAATGGAAAAATCAAGCACTATCAAAAAAACAAAACTTAAGGGTTTACAGCCAAGCGGCTCGCTCTGTGAGGGTGTACTGTGGTACAGCGCTCTCTAGATACATCCATAACAGCGCTGCATTGAGCTAAATGCTAATGTTAGCATGCTAAGACGCTCACAATGACAATATTAGCATGTTAAAGGTATATTTTTACGATTAGTAATAGTATCTTAGTTTAGCATGCTAAGATTTACAAATTAGCACTAAACACAAACTGCAGCTGAGGCTGATGGGAACGTCATTCGTCATTCAGTCACATAGTAAACCAGTAGGTATTGAACAAGGTGCTATTTTGACCTGATGGTGGCACCAGATGAAAAGTCAGGGAACACTTAGTTCATCCAGTGGTGAACATGAATGTCTGTACCAAACTGTATGGCAATGCTTAAAACAATTGTTGAGATATTTCCCTCAAGTGAGTGAGTTCATAAATGGTGACGCTAGAGGAGAAGTCCTGGGATCACCAAGTCATTGTGACTCATTATTTGGGAACCATGAATGTCTGTACCAAATTGTTTGCGAGTCCATCCAGTACATGTCCAGTTTTCCCAACAGATATGTGAAAACGTTGACCTTCTGGTGGTGCTAGATTATAAAGTCAGCAGATCATTAGGATTCATCCTCTGGGCACCATTTATATCTGCACCAAATTTCACGGCAGTCCATCCAGTTGAGATATTTCTGTCTGGATCAAAGTGGTGGACTGACTAGCACGCATTACAGTACCATCCCCAGAGCCACGCCACTAGCATGGCTAACAGAGAGCAGATTTTTAAGCAGTGGACAGTGCTGTGTAACCCAAAACACACATCTTACTTTTCAGTCAGCAAACCTGACTTCAACCCCAGATGCCTCCTCTAAACCACCTATTCCCTTTATCACTTCACTGAGGCAAGTACTTTTCCAGTTTTCGCCTACAGGAAATTGCCTACTGACTGTCTGACTGACCGGCTGACAGACAGCTCCAAACTCGGCATCCGCATGTTTGAATGGAGCTTCAGTATACCTCGAACCTGCAACACATCCTCATGCCATATGGCAAAGTAATCAGTGTACTGACTCCGTGTTTACTGCTATATACAGACCCCTAAAAGTCGTTTAAAGTTAAATTCAAGTTGACATCTCAGCATGATACAAAAGTAATTGCTACAACTCTTTCTCATATCATCCTGCTGCGGTTCCTCAATTTGTTACTTGTCGTATCACTGAAATCCTAAAAACATCTTGACAACTTGACTTCAGCTGGAAACCACTGTGATGCTGCCAGGAGATAACCTTTCACTGATTTATTAGAAGAGTCTGAATTGTGTCCTAACATCAGTGTGATGGCAAAAGGGGGAAGGTGTTAGTGGAGACTCAGAGGAAACTTCAGACATCAACAAAGCTTTAGCAGGCCTGAATGAGCTGCATTAGAGCCAAACGCCCCCTCAGAATCCCAGACAGGAAGTGTGGAGAGTGAATCAAGGAAGCCACATCTGTTTACACAATCACGCCCCTCACTTCTCAGCTCCTCTGAGAAGAATGGTCTCTCTCAGAAGTTAACCCTGTCGTATTTGCAGTATGAACTCTGTTATGCACAGGTTCAAACTAGCATCATGGTTCACGTCCCAGGACATGCTGGGAAAACAGCAATGAGTTCCTCAGTATCTACTATTTTGATCAAGTGCTCTTGAGTGAGATGCTGAACCCTATCTTCTGCAGTAGACCTATTGGGCCAACACTAACAATTGCAGCGGAGAACTCTCAGATAAGAACATGTGATACGGTGGAACTGGTGCAGTATTACTTACCTTGACTCCTGCAGTTCCTTTTTCACCTTTTATTCCGGATTCACCCTACAACAAAACATCTTAATATTAATTTCAAAAATAAATATGATCATTTATTAATATCAGATCTTAACTGATCATTTGGTGAGGTGCATTAAGAGCATACTCACAGCGACACCTTGTGGTCCCAGTGCGCCAGGAATTCCTGCATCCCCTTGAATTCCCTATATGATATAAATCGAGCAACATTATATTAGTGGGCATTATTGACTTGGGACTCTCCAAAAGTGTCACTGTTACTGACTCAGCAGTATACTGCAGGCCAACTGGGGGACTGCTGAGTCAGAGCTAAATCAGTGTAAGAAATTGAACTGACCCGCTAAGAAACCGAAACCCCAAAAAAGAAACGGCTCTTGTCAGTGACAAGACCCCCTACGGCTGAGGGTTTATTGAAGACATCTGTTTCCTTTTTGCACTTAATCAGGTCTATCACTGCAATGTAGAAAAACTATGCTTTAATCAAACTGTCAGCTTGATTTTGAAAGCTCAGTTTTGTGACTACTGTCTCTTCAGTCCTTAGCACTTTGCTTTGTGTGCAACATAAATTACTGATTAATCAGTTCATTCACTAATGTATTGTAAAGTATAATTTTTCATGAAAGACATTTTGAAAAGCACAGGTGAAAATGATTCAATTAAAGATGGCTGAATTCCATATGGTTCACACTGTTATCATTAATGTTATTGATTGCTTTTCCTGTGAACTGAGCCCACTTTAGGCTACTGTAAGTCAGCTCAACTTATAAGCTTCGTTATTATTAATATTAAACTACTCAAACTCAACAAACCACAGCCAGGTAGCAAACAGTTGCTTACTAAGATAACAAGCATGTACATGGTGCAACATTAGCTTGCATTTAGAGACATTTCTGGATCTTTTATGAATGCAAGTCGAATACTCACTCTCCTTTTTGCTCTGGTTTGGTCAACTCCTGACCCAAATGTGTGTCTCTTTAGCTGCTAGATACTTGACTTTGTTAACTCACTAGTGTGAGTTAATAACTTTGTCTGCTGTTTGTGCCACAGTAGGTAGCGAGCATACACGTCTCATCAGAGAACAGCTGCCATTTATTACTCAAAATGGATCCTAGTGAGAGCTTAACACATTAAACAATACAGTAAATGTGCCATGACAACCAAACAATGAGTTAAAAGAGACTAAATAGTTATGTGATCATTCTCTGTGAATTCATTTATTCACAATTGATTCATTATAATAAAGAAAAAGTGTTTTAATCAAACACATCCCACAAAACATATAGTCTAGATTGGGCACCATATCTGCAAAGCAGATAAACAACTGTCAGATGGCTTCTATTTGAGTGCTCACCTACTTATGCACATATATTTTATTTTGTGTTAACATTTCATGTTAATGGTAATACTATACATTAGGTCAAAGCTGGGGTTAGGAGGAGCCTTTCTCATGCATCGTCAGTCTCTAACCCTTGCCGTGAAAGTAGCATTTAGTAGTGATTTAGTATTCCCTGCGTTGTATCAAAAGGGGGCGATCATTCTCTCCAGTCCTGGGTCGAGCAGCCTGTCACAGTCCATTGGCCAAACCTCAGCCAGCGCCCCTCCCTCCTCCCCCTGCTGGCTCTTTCACCAGCTGCTGCTTCATCCAAGGGAAAGTCAACCAAACTGGCCCCCTTTTTCACAGGAAATCGATAACAGGCTGAGAGGTAATTGTCCAGAAAAACGTATGTACGCCCACTTAACAGAACAAGTGCATCTCTGAGATCAGTGCCAAAGCCAGAATGACTAAAGATCCTTTATTTTTATTTTTTTGCCCGCATCAACACTATTTTAAAATCCTTACAACAATGAGCCAAATACATGTGAGCTGGATTAAAAATGGAAAGACCACATTCACACACCTTTAGTCCAGCTGGTCCTGGCAGCCCAGGATCACCAGACACTCCTGCCGCACCCTATTTACAAGAAGAAAAAACACTTGAAAAAATGTGCATTTTTAAGTGTCACAAACCCTGACCGAAATATCAAAACATTTGTTTCTTACTTTGTCTCCCTTGTCTCCAGATAAGCCATCAATACCTGGCACACCACCAAGTCCCTGTGAGATGATTGGAAACAGAGAGTTAACACCAGCATGTAAACTTTTAAGATTCAACATAAAAAAGAAATCCTCCACATGTCCGGGTTTACAAGTGGCACACCTTCTCTCCTTTTTGTCCAGGAGCACCTGTCAACCCTATCCTGCCTGTATCACCCTGTAAACAGAAGGCAAGTATTTACTTAGACTGTTCTGTAATACAGAAGCATGCAGGATGGCCGGTAAGTACAGGCGACGATGGCGTGCTGTCAGAGTGTCAACCTGCTAGCGTCACAGAACATGGTTTAGTACACGGTGGCTGGAGGATTAATGTAGAATTGACTTGATTAAAGGTGCTGTAAGCAAAATTAGCATTTTGGCTAACTTCCAGTCTGTTCCTGTAGTTAGCAGTCCCCCCCCCTGAAATTCTGCTGACTGTTTTTTGTGGAGTCCTCTCTCCTGATTGGATAAAGTTGGAACGGGACATAAGAAAACATATGCTGTATTCTGAACCGCCTACTACATACTACAGATGAACACAGCATGCAGTATGTAGCACATGCTACCCCCGCAGGCACTTGTGGGGCTTCTCAACTCCAAATATGTTGGAGCACATTTTCGATTTGCCAACAACTTTCTTAAAACCAAAGCCAATATTGGAAATCTACGCAGTTGATTTCTCGCCTAAAAAAGCATCAGAAGTGACTTTGGTTAGGAAATAGCATATGAAACTTGCACAAAACCTTCCATTGTTGACCTTCAGCTGTTGTGATCATTCCAGCACTTTGCACTGTGAGACACAATAGGTGAGGTAGGTAGGTATGTTTGGCATCCTGCAGATTTAGCTTTTGTTTGTACACTGCATACTATATGCTATACTTCGAACAAGTCAGTACGTACTGCTAGTATAGCACGCAGTTACAATTACAGCCTCAGTTTACTGCAGAAAGGAGGGACTGGCAGACCTGTGTTACTGACTGAACACTCTATATCAGTAATGGCTGTCAGAATGTAAAGCTATTTGCCTTATTTTAACAAAAACTCACTTACAGCACCTTTAATTGAACAGTGGAACACACAATAAGTCAGACATTTGGACAAAAGACAGAGGTTAACGTTACACACAGTACACAAGGAGTTATACAAGTCAAGATACACAAAAACACAAACTTTTGAGTAAATGTTTGGGAGCCAGAATATGCTAACAGCTGTCAACCGCTTCACCAAGACCCACTATGGTCTGGTCGCACATCCAACCAAAGACTCAAGGAACAATGGCTTTCTATTGTCTTCAGAGTGATGCACTTTTGGTCTGTGCACTGATGTCATATGCTGTGCCAAGGAATCCCTTGCAAGCTGGACTGTGTGAAAAGTAATGGCTGTTAAATTACACCCTACCACGAGGTCTTGCCCACCGCAAGACTTCCCTCTGCTTCATAAACCACTTTACTAGTCACAGAAGGTTGCCCTTTAATTATTTTAGGAGCTTATATCATTTTAACGCACGTCATTTCTTTCATCAAAGAGATTAGGAGAAAGGCCCCCGCTCGGATGTGCTCTATAACGAAAAAGACATTATCTACAACAACGCTGCTACACGGGGAATTGCCTGTTCTTGTCGGTTAAAGATGCAATTAGAAGCAATCAAAGCCGGATGAATTCACTTTCACCCCATGCGACTCAATGACCGACATAGCCATTTTTAACCACAGCTTCAAGTCGGCTTACGTCATGTTTTTGCATCAGCTTTGGAGAAGTTTACAACAACAAATTGCAGTCTTCTCTGGGAGAAAGTGAAGACAGATGCTCATGCAGACAGTAAGAAATAGAAAAGCAACAGGGATGCTCAGCATTAAAGTTTGATTTAATGCTGTTTTATCAAACCAGCAAGGTTTCCAGGAGCAAGAACTACAAAATGAAAATAAATTTATCATGAAATAAGTTCTGCTGTCTGTCTGACTGCATCACTGACGTAAAATAAGAAAGCTAGAGTTATATACGGGAGGTACCCCTGTATTATCCAGACGAACCACATTCTAAAAACTATCACAACCAAAGTAGATAACACAAGTGAGAAGACCATGTCTCGTCTTCCAGACCTCTTGTGGCCATTTTAAGTGTCCCTCTCTGGACAGCTTGAATGATGCGCGCCGAGGATTTTGTCTCAAGGAATAAATTATACTCTGAGACTCCCAGCTGGCACTGCCAGGCAGTAGAGAGGCTGTGATTTGAACTGGGTGGGCGTCTGCGTAGACCTGCCCTCTCTGCTACACATCCTCTGTGGTAACCTGTCCTGTAATTCTGACAATAACAGCTATGAGCATTTTCCTAGCCACTCCCTGACAGAAAAGACGTCGACAGAAAAACATCAAACAAAAGATAGGAAAAGGGGAAAGACAGAAAATATCATTTTTGTAAGGAAAAAAGTAGAAAATAGGGTCATGCAAATAAATGTATTTGGGTTAACATGATGCTCATGCAGCATCAGTCAGAGCAGGTTTACTTACCTTCTCACCTCTGTCACCTTTGACAGAGATTACTTTGCCCTGCAAATAATTAATCGATAAAGATCAATTATTATCGAGGCCGGTAGAAAAGCAGATGAGATAATAGCTGGAAGGCATGCAATGTGTATGATAGTGAATCTACAGTACAACAAAGCTTGAAACTATCATAAGTGCTAAACACGATGTGCTGAAGAAACTCAGTCAATTTAGAAATACTACTCCTGTGAATGTGCACACTTTAGGTTTTCATACAGTTTCTCCTTTTTCTCCTCTGATTCCAGGCGGTCCGATGGCGCCCTTAGGGCCAGTGTCACCCTGAAAACGTATGTTCACACAGTAAAAAAGAAGAACAAACAAATCTGGAACTTAATGGAACTGTAGTTACACACAAACTAGTACTTAAAGGCAATGGTAGATGACCTTTTCACCCATAGGTCCTGCAACACCAGGAGCGCCAATCTCTCCCTGTGAGAAATGAAAACACAGACATCTTTCGAAAGCCATTAAAGAAAGGATTCCCACTCATCCATGGAAATAATAGACAGGGATAAAGTCTGGTAGAGGCAGGTGGCTTTACCTTCTGTCCTGCGGTGCAGGAGCAGTTCACTTGAGGTCCTCTTTGTTGCTCCACAACAGTAGGTGTTGGAGTGAGGATCTCCACTGGGGGGGCCTCTGTAACAACTTTCCTAGGGCACTGAAAGGAGCATATTTAAGCCAACACTGATCATCAAAACCAAAAAATGAAGGGATGGTAGTGTGAATGAGGTTGAACGAGGATCTGATGAGCATTAAGGAACTCTGACTTAACAATTAACGTCTTTCAGATGACCTTCTATGGCTGTTAAGCTGTCTGTGTCTTTTCCCTGCACGTTAAATATGGTGCTGGGGGAAAAAATGATATATGGAGCCAGAAGGTGATTGGAAACAGCTAGCCTGGCTACAGAGTTTAAAAACATACATATCGACACTTTAAGCTACATTGTTTTAAAACGGTTTCACATGAAATTCTATGCTGTAACAATAGCTAACAACGGCACAGTCTTTTAAATAAGAGACTAGCTTGGACTAAAGACAGGACAGTTTATTGTGTTAAAGTGTCGTGCAATTAGAAACAAATCTACATATCTGACTGCAACTTTTAATTCAAACAGATCCAGTCATGCATCTTTGTTTCACGACTTATTTGTTGGCAGCCAAATCTTTAATTCATCACCATGATTGTTGACACCGACTAAAATACTCACGGGTCCATTGGGTAGATCACAGCAGGTTTCCAGCTCTGCATGCTTGGAGTCACAGTAAATCATCATCCTCTGGAGGTCAAACTGCATGGACACAGACAAACAATGAAAAGAGCAATGTCAAGAAAGTAACCTTGGCTTACACTCTTCTATCTCACACAATATCTCCAGAGTGGAGGCTATTAGGACATTTAAAATGTACCACTACCTGCTCTCATAATGCTTCATTTCACTGCATGAGTACATTAAACTACTACACATGCAGGCATAGACTCACATCGATTGGCACGCTGTCATACAGCCTCTTCCCAATCACTGTCTTCCCCTGAATATCAATGTCCTCTCTGTCCTCAATAGGCAGAGTTTGGATGAGTTTGCAGTCCAGGTACAGAGACACAGACTTGGCTTCGACACTGAGGCCAATCTTGTGCCAGTTGCGGTCAAACAGGTTGTCCACTTCTGGGTTCTTGAACACAGCTCTGACAGCATCCTTTGTCAGCCCGACAGCGTTGTACTCCACCGCCTTGTTCTCACCGTCCAGGCGGATGGACACCTGACAAGTCAGAGGCAAGATAATGTCAAGGATAGCAGGTGAAAAAGTACAGGCAGTCAAGTTCAAGTCAAGATGTAAGGAGATCCGAAAACATTGTTTTCTGTAGAGGCAAATTATGAAAGTAAACAATCAATCCAATTTAAGGTACAAAGTTAAATTTTTTTTATACAAGATTTGTTAGGTCATATAAAAGCTTTAAAAAAAGTTTTTAATTTAACATGCATAATTATGGTATTACATATAGTATTATACTTTTAGATTCCATTTGAAAATGATCAGGAGTCTTCATTTTATTTGGCTTGGTAGAGGTAAATACACCATTTCCCAGTTTAACACCCAATAATTTAAAAAGGATCTGAAATAGTCAGTGAGCTGAGCCTATTCTAAGTTGACCTTGTAATAGTCACATTTATTACTATTTACTTTTCGTTGACCCACCTGTGGGATTCCATATTTGTCAAAAACCTGCCAGAGGTACCAATCTTCACGCCTTGAGGTTTTCCTGAATTTGAATGTCGTCACAAAGGCATATTCATCTGGCAACCCTTGAGAAAACACGTCTCTGCAGAGTAAAAGAACATTGTTATTGCTAACAGACTGTGTTTTATTTTACTCTGTGATAAACACACACTTGCAGTGACCCCATTACAGTTTAGACATTAATGTACAAACCCCAAATTAAACAGTGTCTATGTTTCACCACGTAACTGCTTTGTCTATATACACTGTTCCTGCTTCCTACTCAGAGTGACATATTATTATTTTTATTATGAACAGAACATATGCATACAGTGTTAACATCCACTGTACACTCAGCCTACTAAAACCTTTGATAAACATGCATGGAGACATTCTTTTTGTATTCATATTTTTTGTTGAACTATTTGTTTTTACATAAAGATGATGCTTATGTCTAGATGAACCTAAAATCTGGAACAGTCTGCTGGGAGAAATCATTTTGAATAGTCAAATTAGAGTCATCCACATCTAAATACTTTGCTTTGTGACTACTCTCATGCCTGCACTGTAAATATGAAGCTGCAGCCAGCAGCCAGTTAGCTTAGCTTAGCATATTGACTGGAAACAGGGCAAACAGCTGGCCTGGAGCTGTACAGTGCACACAGGTACAAAAACCGGCCTATGAGCCCCTTCTGGTTTTGTATATAGAACCAGAACTTTACTTGTTTACAAAATAATGTGTTAATAAACCTTTTTCACAGCAGCCATTTTGACATGAAATATTAGGGTAAACACAGGTGTTACCAATAACACCAGTTAAGGCGGTTCCAAGCAGGTCAGGATGCTGCTGTTGTGCATGGTGGTCACTAAAAAGTCTCCACTACACTAAATGGAATGGAACCTATTAGTATCATTGGTAGCACCTGTGATTACCCTACTATTGTCAAAATGGCTGCTGTGAAAAAGGTCTTTTTGCGAGCTTTAGAGAGGTTGATAGATGGATCTGTACCTTTGAATAGAGCCAAGCATATTTGTGCTAAGCTAAGCTAACTGGCTGCTTTATGTAGCTTCATATTTACCTTACAGACATGGGAGTGGAATCAATTTCCTTATCTAACGCTTGGCAAGTAAGCAAAAGCATTTTGGGAATTATAACAAAATGCTGAACTACTCTTTTAATCAAGTGCATTGACAGGGTACATACACAATCCATAGAGGGGGATGGGGATTACTGCGGCCATGACTTCCCATCAGATCTTTAGAAATATTTAATGTGGAGTGTATTGTTTGTAGTGTAACAGGGTGGTCACTTACTCTGTTTGCTGTACAATGGGCATGGTGCCAAGGCGGACATAAGAACTTTGGCCATCATCATCTCTGGTTCCCAGAATATCTCTCACACTGAAGTACTCCATTAGGTCGAACCCTGCAGCAAGCACAATAAAATAGCCTAGTTGGACTCGAGACAGTCTCTCACACACGCATAAATAAGCACACAGGGCTCTTGAGTCGTGAGGTTGAGTTATGGTTTTGTCAGATTTCTCGGGGTATGCTGGGGTTTAATTGGGTCTGCCTCACCACACCCTGAAGCCACTGTGTTTGTGGCTTTTTGGAGGAAGATTAAAATCACAGTATTACTGAATAACTGGAAAATAGAGCCATTTGTTGGCTATTCAGTTTGTTAGATTTGCTGCCAGAGGAAAAAACTAGTTGCCATCTCTGAGAGTCTAAGAGTGTGTGCACGTGTGTGTACGTTGCCAAGCAGTGTGTGATTTGAAGTGGTGTAACCACAGACCGTATTTAGGTGGTTTAGAAAGGACACTCCCTTGTACAACAAACAAGTGCTGTAGCTATGGTAATGCCAACAGAACCACCGTAATGTGGTCAGTTTGTCCAGCAGATCTCACTGGAGGCTGGTGGTCATGTTGAGCTCTTCTGAAACAGACCGTGCCATTAGTGAGCCAGCAGGACGAGGGCAGCCTCAACATATTCCTGCACGGACTTATAGTAATGCAGAAAAATCTGTGAGGCGTAAGGTTTCCGGTGGGCATAGTAACACCAGTGGACTAATCTTCCAAAGAGGAAACTGGAACATTAAGGTGGTAATGTGAGAGTCTGGCAAAAGCTGAGTGGATGTCATTAGAAATAGCCTGGAAACAGGTGGTAAGACACCCAGGCTGCCCCTGTGCCACTAGCAACAGAGTAAAAAATAACAGTAAAAACCTGAGCCGTCATAACAGACTGAATAAGTGAGGGGATCACAGCTACTTTGTCTGTCAGGAAAGGCCACTATGTGTCCCAGATGCACTGTTAGGGATGACAGATTACTATGCACTCAGATTACTCTTCACACAGGGTGGAGAGTTTCTCTGTGCCGGTTGGTATATGAATAAGACCTCTTTGGGGGGACATTTCTCATACACTTCCATTCATTTCGGAACCCATTATTCACTCATGTTTAAAAGCTACCTCTGCTGGTCAGTAAACACCTTTGACTCAAATACTGTTTGCCTTGAGTTTCTCATTTTTTATAGTTGATGTACTTTTTCCATAAATTTCGTATCAATGACTATGTGCTTGATCTTGATACTTTGGGCTTTGAGTCAGCTTCATGCACAAGCCTAAAATTTTGACTTTTTCTATCTTGCCACGTTTTAAAAAAAAGTGCAGGTTTTTTTATTTCATGACCTTATATGCTATCAATGGCTTAGCTTTATAGCATTATCACATGCTTACTTTGTGGCAAGACATTATCCCACATAGCAATATTGGTTTGGCCCATACACTCGGCCCAAATACAGCAATAAATTACGGTCCAGATCTGGTAGCCGCATATAGCCTATGATATAGCCATATCTCAGCCAGCTGTATGACCATAGCTGACCCTATTCTGGCCCTATGTTGGACAAGACAAGCGTCAGCAATGTTTTTTTTTTTTGGCCATGGTTTACAAAAGTGTTTCCTGGCTCAATTTCCTTATTTAACTAGTCTGCACATTAATGCAGTGCTGACTGGGGGAAGAGAATGAGGGACAGTTGGCTGAGATGTAGCTATGTCACGGGCCATAAGTAGCTAACAGATCTGGGCCACCTGTGGACCGTAACTCATTGCTGTATTTGGACTGAATTTAAGTGGGCTGTGTGGACCGTCACTGGGCCAGACCAATTTTGCCATGTCTCAATCAGTATAACTAGCATACCTGAGAGTGTGTGAGTGCTGGAATCAGACACATTACTGTAGCTTTGTTCTCTAATTGTACCTGTGTAATCTTTCAAGTTTCAAGTTTCCCCTCGTTCAAAATCAAAAGACACACTCATACTCGCAAAAACACACCATGGCAGAATACATCCAGCTCATTAAAATCTGCTGACAGAAGTCTGGTATAAAACAGCTTTGCTTACTTTTGAATCAGAGCGGAAATACTTTAGCAAGTAAAAAGATCAAGCAACTAATGTTCTCTAAAGCTCAGCTCTGTCTTTTGAGCACTGGTGATGCCATGCAAAAGGGATGTTTTGCCGCTCATCAGTCTTGCTGAAGGGTTGCTCGAGGAAGCCATGCAGCTGTGAGTTTTGCTGGCCCCGACTCTCTCTGTCACCATGCTTGCATCGTTCACCGCGCTGTTTCTATGGCTGTTTGCGGGCCATCTCAGCACAGAGCTGTAATTTGGACTGGCAGTGGATAGCGTATAATCAACCCAAAAAGTTATTTTGGACAGCCAAAAACGACCAATGGGGTGATCTGCGGGAAAAGCCAGATGAGTTCACTGACTGGGAAAAAGCGAACGCATACAAACACAGCATTCTTTTGATCAGAGCAGATGGCAACATTTGTGCAGTAGATAGTGAGACACAGAGCCGCAAACACACTCTGCATCCTCCCGTGTGTTCTCAGTACCCTGAGGGGTCAGACAGCCCATGATAAATACAAGTCTGACTCAAACCGCAGGTCTCTTGGCTGTCAAATTATAATCAGTGACAAATAGTCTCGACATTTCTCACGGAGAATTACACTCTCTCAGCGGCAGCGTAGAGAGCATTTGTTGTGTGATTATAAGAGGGAACCTGCAGGAGCTGCTGGTGTAGTGACGATAAGTACTGTTTGTGTAGTACTTCTGTGTATGTTGAGAAAGTCTCTATGTGCTTACTGTAGCCACAGTTCGAAAAAAAAAGTTCTTTACTGAATTAAGTTTGAGAATGTATGTCTTAAAGCTGGGCCACAGTTACAGACTTACTACATTTTGGAAAACCCCGGATGTCTTTGTCATGTCAGGCAGCTTCAGACTGCAGACCACTGTTTGATAACATTTTGCCCCCAGTTCAGGTTTGGGCTGTTAGATGTGATTATGACTTGGGCTAAAAATTAGTATCCGGTTAGTTCTCTTGGTCTTATCAAAAGTATTGCTCTGAAGATCAATTCTGAGGCTGTTTTCGACAATAACAATAGCAACTTCTGATCAACTGATCTCAATTTCAGGCTTAAATAAACAACTTCTGATGAGTCCCATCCACTTACAACTTAAGCTCCATCCATGTATAAGCCCCCCCCTTAAGGTAAAAAAATAAATTAGTTGTTTGAACAAATGCACACACAGATGAAGGTGTACTTGCTCATCCTTAAACATGACACAACAGTCTGTGCTATAGAGAAAGCCAATAATCATCCATATACTTTCTCTCACTTTGCCAACATCTAAACTTAAATAAAAACTACATTTTTAAAGGTACCTGCTGGTCCTTGGGCCATACTGTGGGAACTGTTACAACTTGGAAATCCACTTCCAAATTAGTAATCTTACATCATGATACTAACTTAGGATGTAAAAGGAGTGAGTAGAAGCTCTTAGGGGGCACCATTTCATTTGTGGTGCAAATAGCTAAATGTAAAAGAAATATGAATCAGTGTGCAGTATATTTATGGTGTATTCCACAACAACCTAGTTTTTGGTTACAAGAAAAGATCTTCTCATATAGTTTTCCAGTGGAACAAGACTTGGGTTTTGGATCTGACTTAGAAAGACAAACAACACAGCCCAACAGGATTTATTCCAATTAGAGTGCTTACAGCACATCTGACAGAGTGGTACATCTGCTTAAGAAAACATCAGCGGGTTTCAGTGATTTATCTGAAGTTAGTTCTAATTCCTTTGCGGGTTTAGAGGAAAAGCGTAACCACATAATTAGCACTTGCCCAATGAAGAGGATCTGATAATATGTTTCGACAGTGGGAAGTGATGCTGTCAGCTGTGATCAGAGGCACACACTCCTCCACTCTGTACTGCAAAATCACACTTGACTGGCTGTTTGACCGAAGAGTCACTTTAACTTGTGAATGTATCAATTTGTCATATATCAAAATGTAAAGCCTTCTCTACCTAACATCGGGAGCGACACTTATGGCTAGTGTTGAAAAGTTAATTAGTACATTTACTCAATATCTGTACTTCAGATACTCTGTATGAATTGTATTATTTTGCTGAACTTGTTTTTTATTGAGTATGAAGAGAGGTTGTCAGGGTGATTTTAAGGGAAGATTGATTGGGAGTCATGCCAATCCAAATACATATATTTTAGGACCATGGCACATGGCTATTTGGCCGAAAAAGGTAATAGTCATGCGCGAAGTGGGGCCGTGTCACAGCAAATGTGTATTGCCAGTTTAAAGTGCAAAGCTAACAGTGGTGTTCTCAAAAGGCTACATTCTGTGGCCCCCAAAACAGCCAAACCCCAGGAAAAGATAACTATTTTATGCCAAAAATGTTATAAAGAAAGCCTTAGATATCCATTCTATCATTGTCATCCATCTCTTGCTCAACATGTCATTCTCTTGCCAAATTTGATTTATTTTTTATTATTTCATTTATGGGCTCAGTGGTTGGCACAGCAGCGCTGTAGCTAAAAGTTCTTCACAGACTGCAGTCTGTCTGGGCTTTTTTTGTGTGAAGTTTGCATACAGTGTCTGCATGAATTTCCTCTAGGTGCTCTGGTTGCCTCCCTATGCCTGAAACCATGCAGGTTAAATGAATTGGAAACACTTATAGGGGCGTATGAGTGAATTAACTTGTTGTAGTTGTCAACCCTGTGACTGACCTGTGTACTCTGCCTCTCATCCAGTGCATGCTGGGATAGGATCCAACCCCCCACAATCCTTAAACCGATTTGTGGGTAAACGAAATAGACGGATTGTTTGATTTGTGGCTGCAATGTTAATTATTCCTTATATTTTAAATTAATTCCTTATTGGAAAGCCGGCTTCCATCATGAAATAATTTGAAATGCTGTTTAAAGAGACTTTTAAAGCCTGACAAAAATATAGTTCTCGAGAAACACTACTTTCGATTTTGAGAAAAAAAACCACAAATGGATACTGCACAAAAGAGCCCCCAGCAAAATGTCCGTTGCCCCCTTGTTTTAACACTATCAGGTGTCACTGTGCCAGCCAAAAGAGTCAAACATAAAAAACAACAAAACAAAAGCCTCCACCGACATCTCTCTTTCCATTGAGTCAAACATATTAGCAGCAGTCAAAACAGTCATGCATGGGCATCTGTTTTTTCTCTTAGTGTGATGGATGTGGGTGGGAGACATAGACAGGAACTCAGATCCCCCAAAAGACACTCTTATAACAACATCCGACATTTCTGGATAAACGCTATTCTAGAGTTCTGAGAAACTTTTAACATTACAGCAGCTCAGAATATGTGAAATAAGAACATCAAATGATGGAGGTCTAGTAGATGACTACGTTCACCACTGAACTTGAACATCCCAGCTGCATGTAATGGAACATGTCAGTGTGTTTGCAAGTTTTCCCTCTTTAAAGGTCCAGTGTGTAACATTTAGGAAGCTCTACTGGCAGAAATGGAATATAATATGCATATAGGTATGTTTTCATTAGTGTATAATCACCTGAATATACGAATCGTATATTTTTTTTACTTTGAATGAGCCGTTTATATCTGTAGACACTGAAGGTCATATTCCATGGAGGCCACCATGTTTCACATTTGGGGAAAATTGCTTATTCACTTTCTTGCTGAGTCTTGAAGACAAGATCATGTCTGTATAGTGAATATATTTTCCAAAAACTTTTCCAAAATACAAAATACATCTAACCTACATTTGTAAAACACAGCAAACGGGTTCCCAAAATAATTAGCTTTGACGTAAAGTGGGAACGTGTGGGCAAATTCAAACCTGACAGCATTTAGTTTTTGCAAGTATATTGAGATTTTATAATGGTAGCATAAAACAAGACAGAAAATAAATGTGCCAGAAAAGTGGCACTTGCCAAGTCATACATAAAACCAATTCAGTTTCCAATCTTACAGAAACAGAGGACACTGTGAGTGAAAACAGTCAAACTCTTTGCACTTATCTCTTGTTTTTCTTGATGTGAAAAAAGATAAATGTGGGAGTGTAGGAAATGCTGACTTTGTGGTTGACAAGTGTTGCCAGTGCTTCGTGTTGCCGTTAGAAAAAGCAGCATTTTGCACATACCTGGAACCTCTTCAAGACCATAACTGGTGCTGTTGGGCTTAAACCGATCAGGTTGAACCTTCATCTTTGGACACAGGACATCTGAGGAGAAAGGACAAAAGCTCAGTTAGACATGCTGTAAATCAGGACATGGTGCTGTTTGGGGAGCACAGGGTAGGTAAAGAGAACAGTTTAAACACTTTTATGGGTAACTTCGTATCTTACTCTTGGAAATCTATACATGTGTTATTGCTTTCTTACGAAAAGCAGTTATTCTGAAAGCTTATGAGGGGTCACATGAGAAACTGTGTGAAGTGTTGGATTGTTTTAGGAAATGGTGATCTCAGTGAAATGCAGCCTTTGGACTGATACATGATCTAAAGAGCAGACAGACTGCTCTCCATCTCTCCTGTCTGATGTCTGGGGAGTGGAGTGTGTGGGTGGAGGGCAGCTCTACAAGAGCAGGGGGCACATCCACAGGCCCAAGAAGCATTCACAGTTTTATATTTCAACACACACATATTTCGGTGACGGTGATGACAGTGAGAAAGGCAACACGATCAGGTTAAGTTTTTATTGGCAGGAGGCATATTTTCTATTTGTGTCAAGATGCCAGCTTCACTACTAAAGAACGCAGATATGTATCCTGTTTAGTTTCATAGATGTAAACATTGATTTAAAGATGAGAGGGACAGTTTTAAAGGGTCAGTTCACCTAAATGACCGCATGAACATATTTTGTCACTTTGAGGTGGTGAGTTTTGTGTCTGGTCCTCACAGCATTGAACAGTTGCATTTAAAGAATGAAATGCATTTTTCCAGAAACAGTTTCACAAACAGTTTCCTCTCTATCAACAGACTTTATTGGAACTGCTTGGATAATACTTCCCATTGAAAGGGTTTGTTGTGAAGATTGGATGAACCATCTGTCAGTCACCATCCATCATGAACTCTTGAACTTCAACCAATCAGATCAACAAACCATGCCCACAGCTCATGAAGTAGCTACCAGTTTAGGACACTGCTTGAAGACTGGTAAGATGGATTCTTATCTCCAGCTACCTAGCAAAGTTACTTTGGTCCAGACTGAAATATCAAGTTAAAAAAGTTCAATTGAAGTTAATTGTACCAGTTCTATTCTGTTAATGGAACTTAAAACTAGCATATTTTATACTAGCTCATATGCAACAGTTCTCCAAACCTATTTAAAATGTGTTCATATAATTTATCTGTATAAAATAAGACTAACTTAAGTGCATTTCTTTACACAAATGTTACCACTTAAGTTGAATTTTCTAGATTTTCTTTCACTGAAGAAAATCATTTCATTACCTGTCAAAACAGCTAACATACAATAAAAACTATTTACAATTAATCGATTATCAAAATGGTAGCCAATTCATTTTCAGTGGATCAACTAATCTCATTTTTAATGCTGTAGTTAACAATAGCCTGGCTGATGTTTTATCTAACTAACACCAAATCTTTACACTTTATTTGGATGCTTGCACATATTATGATTTATAAACTGAAATAAAAAAACAATTTAAAGCTATACAGCATTATAGCACTGACCATAGTCAGTGGAGCTTACACGTTTGTAATGATGTCAGTGGAACAATACTTAAAATACTGCACAAATGTAAGTATTATTAAGAGTTATTACTTCAGCAAATATTTTTTGAGTTTCAGTAATTTATAGGAATGAGTTACTCCACCTGTTTTGGAGGATTAAGTTATGTTAACTTACTTTTTTTATTAAAATATGCTGTTTGACTTTACAGAGGCAAGTGAGCCAATGTTTACAGCTGCAGTAGGCAAAGCTTTTATGTGAGATTACACTCAGTTTATCAATCTAAATTAAATAAGACTGTCCCATCCTCACTTCCTTTTCTCCAAATTATTCTACAAATTGCACAAATCAAATCTTAGTTTTATCAAAACAAATTTGGACTCATCAGTGTTTGAAAATCACTCTTCCCTTGCATTTACTTCACAACTGATGAGGTGATCATGAATAAAACCTTCTCACCCATCCCACATGGCAAGATACATTTTCATATTGTTGATTAGGTGTAGCGGCAAATGCAGGGTCTTTTCATCCATTTGTAATCAATCTGTTCAGAGAAATGTCTCATTAAACCTATTATTAGCCCAACAATTTGTCTGTGTCCTGACTGTCAGTCCTAAATATTATCTGTGGCCGAAAATGTCACGGTGAGACACTCCAGCTTCCCTAATAGATCAAGTATCTGCCAAACATCTACTATCAAACCCTGCAATTTTCTTAAATCACAGCTATAAAAATCATCATGTCAGAGTGGCTTTTAACCTTTGTGACGTTCATTATGAGGACAGCTCTGTTGACATGGCTTGTTTTTCTCTTCCATGCAAAGCCCAGAGCATGTCTAATAGGAAAATCCAAGCGGCTAATTTAACTGTCAGCATTTGCATACTTTCTAGTCAATCTACAAGCAGCGTTATCTCCATTTCACATGGTTTATTTTTAATTTCAGCCGCATGCTCTGTCCTTGTCTGTGTCTGTCATGAGTTTGTTTAGCAGCGAAATTAAAGGAGTCTTTTTTTTTCTTAAAGTCTCTCTAAGGTGATAATTGAAGATCTCAGAAAAGATACTTGCTTTATGTTGTTTATAAAGCCAGCGAGTCTACCAAAAATTACCATTCTGTGAATGAATGGAAGTGCGTCACTCTTTTTTTAAAGACAGTGTTGTTGCACAGCCCTGAGACTTAGCATGCTAGATAGCCGAGCTACTCCCTGCACTTGTGGCCCTGAAGCTATAATTTAGGGATCCGGCTGTGAGTTAAAATGAATGCAATGTAAGACCTGCCTTTGTAAATGCATGTCTCAGACAGGTTCATGGTATCAGCAGAAGCTTGAGCATTACAACACATCTAACAACCACCATTTTCTTTTCTGCAGCGAGATAAATGTTTAATTCTTACTATTACTTGTGTTACCTGTCATCATTATGGCTGCTGAATTTTTTAAACACACTGTGGGTGTTAGACAAGAGCTTTGATATTAGAGTTCTCACTGGGGTCATGTAAGGTCAAGTGTGTGATCTAGGCCACACATGATGTATTGAATCAGTGCAGCACATAATAAGTAGTGTCCATTTTAAAACCTATAGATTAAAAGGTGAAAACATTAAACATGGACACTGGAGCGGCTGCACTGGACCCACTTGAAACATTAGAGCTATAATTTTCTGGGTGAAAATAACTTGCATTGCTCAGGGAGCCAGTTGTGCTGACCACTGATATACTTAGAGACTTACTCGTGGTGAGTTTAGAGATTGCAAAAGAAAACATTGAAACTGTCTTTCTGTGTAAATTTAGTTTCTGGTTTGTGCTACGGAGCACTAAGCTCTACACTTGCACGTATGACACGTTTTATAAAAATATAAGCTACTTTATTCATTGACAGAGTGAAAACCTATGGAGTCAAGGAGCGAGGTCAAAGGTTTGCAGCTTTAAAATGACTCTCTGTGTTGCCCTTGCACCAGGATCACCCTGCAAGATGATATGTCCTTAAAAAAGAATAAAGGAGTCTGAATCAACATTTTCCTCAGAGGAGTCTCTACTTTTGCCTCGTCAAGCTTGACAATTTAGAGCTAGATTGAAATGAGAATTGAGAGTTTGTCGTTGCTTATCTGTGCGCTTAACCATGCAATCATGTCATTTCCATTTTTGCATGTACTGTTTGCGGCCAAGACTTATGGCATCCTTTTCTTTCCTGTCTGGCTAATTTTAGGAAGGAATTTCAAGTGTTGGAGCGCAAAGCATCCATCTTCTCCATGAAAACACTCACACGCAGATACTTGTTCACTTCTCCACACAGCTACTGGACAACATAAAGCTCTTACTTTATTTTATAAGCCTATTTTCCCTAATTCATTTGGCTATGTAAGCCACTTTCTAAGCCTGTATGCCTGTGTTGAAAGATTTTCTCAGCACACTAGTGGAAAAACCATTGAGGTTAGCTCAAGACAGGCTTTCCAGTGCTAAACACCTCTGCACCAAAGCAGCAATCAAAAAGGCAGTTACGCCACAGAAATGTCTTGGTTAGAGAACTGTCATTTACAAGCCAATTTTTGCAACAGCCCCCTCACATGCTTCATATTCAGTCAAAGAGAAGCCACGATTGCACTGTGTGCATGCGCAGCTGCTCTTTGTGGTTGGGGTGGGGTTTTGTGGTTAGGGTCTTTCCTCAGTATAGTGCTTAAAGGTTAAAATAAGAGTCTAATTTGATTAAGTGCACGTTCGGGGTGAGGCAGGCTCTTTAAAGCGAGGCTTCAAAAAGAAGCATGCAGTGTGAGTGATGTGCTGGCACTGGGCCTGACGGCCGACTTACTCTCACACAGCCTCCTCCTCAGCCTGCCCCTGATCTTGTCAATGGCATTAAAGTCCGTCACGTGGAAGACGTGGGCATTCTTTGGCTCGGCCCCAATCTCCTCCAGCTCCACCTTCAGCGCCTCCCCGATGCCCACGGCAAACATCCTGATGCCAGCTTTGGCAGCTGCCTTAGAGGGCTCCAGAACATAATCCTGGCTTCGTCCATCTGTGAGAAGGATGGCCACCTTCTGAATGCCTCTGGCGATGGGCCTCGCTCCATTCCGCTCCGTGAAGATGTTGGTGGTGGTGTAGCTGATCGCATCCCCAGTCATTGTATTCCCCCCCAGGTAGCGTATGTTACGGGCAGCTCGCTTCACATCCTCCAGGGTCCTGTGTCTGCCCAGGGTGAACTCGGTGGTGGGTCTGTCACTGTAGCGTACCACGGCGACTCTTGTCTTGTCGGGTGCCACGTCGAAAGACTCCACAAGGTTGGCCACCCATTGCCTGATCTTCTCAAAATTCTCTTTTCCGACACTGGATGAGGTGTCCAGGATAAACGCCAAGTCATAGTGGACATTTTTACATCCTGTCATAGGTAAATACAGGAGGATTTAGTCACATGCAGTCAATATAAGCTCTTCCACTGATGTTACATCAGAATATTCTGTCTTAATGGTCTTACCTGCCCTCTGTGCTTCCACTCTCTCTCCGGAAAGAGTCAAGGCCAGAATGACCAAGACCAGGGTGATCCTAAATCCCAGTCGTAATTCCATCTCGGCCTTGGTTTGGGTTTGTTTTGTTTAGCTTATTACCACCATCAAGCTGTCCAGCCTGTGGAAAGGTCAGTGGAAATATCAACATTGCACTTTTACATGCACTCTAGCAGACACTACAGTCAGTACTTTGTAAATGCACAACTGAACTATAAGACATTTTAGAATCTAAATCTTGTTTGCCAAGCTGTCTCCTGGCAAACAGGATTTCTGATAATTTCTCTCCAACAGTGAAACCAAAGTGGGTGAAGCACTTCCTGTAGTGCAGGGAGATTGCTGTAAAGAAGCAGGACTCCTGCGGTTGCTGCTGCCACATCTTTATATTGACAAGGGACTGACGGAGAGCTGATTTAAGATTGCATTAGGCACTTTGTATGTAGAAAGAAACTTGGCTCCAGTATGAAAAAAAATCTCTATCTCATCCCCCCTATTGTGCAGTATTTCTACTGTTCCCTGTTTGAATTTCTTTCTGGTATGGAAGCTGGCAGGAAATGTTCTCCGTTCTCAGGATGTGATAATTGAAACCTGAGAATGAAATACACGTCTCTCTACAGCAGCAAGTGAATACTCCATCCAGAGAAAAGTGGACTCACCAAAGATTGTCGGAACTTTCTGCCAAACTATTTTTTTTACCATCTCCATCTCCACCCACAAGACAGTAAAAGAACAACCTCAGAAGAGTGTAGTTTTCTGATGTTGCACTGCATGATTTCTTTTGAGATCCACGCAGGTATCTCTAGTTGTTATTTGGAGCTGCTAGCATGAAATGTGTGCAGCTTTGATCCACCAGCATGTTGCAAAGGACCAATCAATCCATCTCTGTTGGATTCATTTATGAGGTTGTTGTGCCTGTGTGGCACTGACAGAAACCTGCCATATAAACACAAAACTATTCTTGCTCTTATTGTTCACCAGTGGTTGTGATGGCTGCCATTAGGGCTGATGTGTGACTGACCGTAGCCATAACATGGACTCATCCTGATTTGGAGTGTGTGTCATTGCGGGGGGTCATTGTGGGAGGCTGAGGAAAGAGTTATGCATAACTTGGAAAGCAATCATACCAGTCCCTTGTGTTCTGAAAAGTTCTTTACCATCCTTCACCACCTTTCTGTGTTCTTTCCATTAAATTAGCTAGTAAATGTATTGGTTTCCACAGGTTAAAAGCAGCCAAACTTACAGGCTGTTATCAAGAATGTGCTTAATGGAATATTTTTAAGGAATACTTAGACATTTTGCAGAATATGTTTATTTTCTCTCTTGATGAGACTTAGGTGAGAAGATTGATACCTCACTCATACTTCTTTGTTAAATATGAAGCTATGCCCGGGTTATAGTTAGCGTAGCTTAGCATAAAGATTGGAAATAGCTAGTCTGGGTCTCTCCAAAGGTAGAAAAGATATCTTAACCTCAATAACTTACATGCTTTATTTTTGTTGTTTAATATGTACAAAAGCTAAGGTGAATCCAACTGTACTGTGCAGTATTGTTATTAACTGATGCAGACTGTGATGATTTATGTTTCCTTGACACTTGCAGTATTTCTCCTGTTTTAAAGATAAATATGTTGCCATCTTGGAAGCATATTTTAGTCTATTTATGACTACAAAAGTCAGTGGAATGAAGGAGTTATAAATAATAAATGTAATTACAGTGAGTATATGCTTGTGTAATTTTGAAATAGAAAGTGATTTGAGCAGGGAGTGAGTTCCAAGAAATGTTGTGGAGAGACACAAATTTAAAAACAGCAAGCAGTTGACTCTGGCCTGACCTATATAGCCTGTGAAATAGAGAGTGCATTATTTACAGTGGGTAAAGGAAAGTGCTTTGGCCTCCAGATACAACTTTACTTATCAGATTCTCCATTAGGCTATTTCTGCTACTTGGTTTCACTGACACTTTTAATGAGCAGAATAGGCATGCTAGCTGAATCACTCTAATTGCCCCAATTAGTGTGCATTTAAAATCTGAGAAATTCCGCCCTGCAAGACTTCAGTGGAGAAAAAAAAAGACTCAGCTGCCCTATGAATGTAGCAGAACAAGATTTGGATTCATCCTCCTAATCCTCTTTACCCAACTTTGTACAAGTCTAACATATTCTCATTTGTCTCCCTTTCATCTCTGATTACATTTAAATGCACTGCATGGGTCTTCCAGCGCTGTGTTGAATTAATCTGCAGTCTTACAAGCAGATACAGTATCTGAGGTAAAGCTAAAAACAAGCTGGTTTGCCTCCGTCAACATCTGAACCTGGGGGCCAGATTCCTTACAAACTGTGGGTCTGTATCATCAGGCCTGTTTCCACTTCCTCTCTCAATGGTAGACCTGGGACTGCAACGTAGATGTCTATAACAGAAGCACCACGTTTATCATTCCCAAAATGTAAAAAACAGAAGCAGTTGTTTTTTTTCCACATGCAACCCAAGAAGAAGAGAAAAAAAAGTCTGTACTCTGATAGAGCATCTGAACAGCATGTGGATACAAAGAAACACCTCTTGCCAACAATGCAGAAACTGTTAAAGAATAAATAATTGTAGAATCGGTCTTTAGAGGAAGATAGTGGTGACAGATGGATGATTTTATGGTGCAATTTTTGTTTCTTACCTGGCCTGTCACTCTGAGGTGTCTCTCTCTCTGCCTCCAGCAATCACACCCTGAATCAGCACAGGGGCAGCATCATTATCAGGTGATAATAATCCAAAATATCTCCCCTGCAGGTGCCAGAAATCAGGATGAGATTATTATATAATCCAGGGTGACAATCCAGTGTACAGTGTTGTTAAAAAGTGAGGTGAGGTGAGTTTGAGAAACCTTGGGTGGACAGAGTGGGAGGGAACTGCGAGAAGGGAAAGTGTAGGGTTTCACTGGGGGACGAGGTGGCTTCTACTGTTCTTGACTGGGCTGTGCTCACACATAAAAAAAGCCTGAGAGGCGCAGCCAATTATAGACCCAACTTTCTGGATATTTTTGTCCCTTTTTTTTCCCCCTCTTCTTTATGGCTGCGCCCATCTGAAGTGTTTGCCCTCAAAGAAAAGGCACGGCTTCTTGGCAACCGCCTCAACTGTCCGGCCTTTGCCACTGCGATAGCCACAGCGGAGCCGCCCTGGGGCTGGTGGTGGGCCGGGCTGTGTTGGCTTCAACCAGCCACACACTTATGGAGAAGGGCTGTATTTAAGTTGGGGAAATGATTACAGAACATTTGTGCTTGCAGCTTTGTGTTAAATGTCTGTCCTCGCACTGACTTACAGTAAAGCTCTGTGATCTATATTACTCATGTCGGGCTGCTTTGACAAGTTTACAATCATCAGACCACACATCTTTTTTTTTAAATAAATGTTCATATATAACATACAAAATATATATCTTTTAATTATTTTATTTTTCTTACTTGCCCCAGGAGTTTCCCCCCACTTTTCCATCCTAATTTGCTGTGTGTGGATGTGCTGTTTTCTTGAGCCCAACATTTATTTTTTGGAATATCCAAATTTCCTCAGGGATAATAAAAGTTTGATCTTATAATATTCACTTTGAAGAACTGATTATTTATTTACAGCAAGCAAACACACACACACACACACACACACACACACACACACACACACACACACACAAAAAAACCCACACATTTTCACCTTGCAATTTCTTAATAGCTATCCTTAATAGAAAAGTCAGTATTCTTTGCCAACCTGTAAATCTACATCTTGATCTGATATACACATTTACAGGATGACTGTAATTCACATTTCAGTGTACGCTGATGTCCTTATCATGTGTGGTCATGCTCCCTGGCAGGAGAGGAAGCTGCAGTGAAACGCAGCAGCCCTCTGTGTCTCTGTCTGTGTCAGACATCCTGCCTGGCAGACATTCTGTGTTTCTCCTCTGAAGTCCTCTGCATCACGAGTCTCGTGTTGGCAGCTCTTGGTTGAACTTTCCTCTTTAATGTGCTCCCACAACTGTCACCACATGCTTCTGCTGCATTAGAAAACATATCCAAATATGCCGTGGAGTTGTCGAGGCACCAACATTTTTCTTCTAAAACACAGTGTCAATATTTGAATGTCATGGACAACAAACAAGTTAGCCATTATATCCAGGCCTATTTACAGTGCCTTTGTAGCCAAGGAAAGTGAGCGCAGGCCAGGCTATGTATAGGCTCAGCGTGAAGTGGATGGGAAGTGGGCTGACGTTCCGGGCCAGATGCACGTTATGAGTAATGGTGTTAGTGTGAGGGACCGTCTGTCGCCTTATGTGCGAGGGCTAAAGAGGTGACCAGCATGTAGGGTGAGCGAGAGGCTGCGAGTACCGTGTAGTGTTGGAGAATGCCATCTGTCATCTGATTGACAGCCAGCTTTCAACTTCCCACATCAGAGAGAGGCTCTTCGTCCGAAATATGTTTGAAATATTAATGTGTGAATAAGAGCTGAAGCAGGACAGACTATGCATTTTTTAAACTTAGGTTCAAACTTCAAGGTTACATTTTCACCATACGGCAGCATTACCCACATTACTTTTTATGCATTATTTTGCCATGTATGCCACCAGGTGCCCCCCACTCAGGGACATTTGCTGCACTGCCTTACAGCACAAAGCAGCAAGAGGGCGCTGTTCTCTGCACCAACAGAGTATTAACTTTAACAATGGATCAAATGATTGTGCTTAAAGGGGAAATTACACATCACAGTCTGTTGACAGGTCTTGGGGAGTGATACTGCCTATGTGAGAAAGTCTGATGTCACTTGAGTCAGCGTCTCGGAGGCTGAAGACTACAAGTTTAAAAAACATTTGGGGCTCGTCTCTGCTTCAGGATAGCTCTATTAGCCGCAACTAGCATTACCTACCAAACTGTCTGTGGTTGAGTTGAATTGTGGGTGCCAGGTTTTGACAAGTAAGAAGAGCATATGGTTTGTAAAAACTGTCCATCAACCTTGTTTCCAGCGTGGAACCCTACCTGCGGGCGCCCCATGTACCAAGGCTGAGTCTGTGCTACAGCGGCCATGGGTTCGAGTCTGACCCGTGGCCCTTTGCTGCGTGTCAACTCCTCTTTCTTCCCCCTTTCCTGGCTATCTCAAGCTGACCTGTCACATAAAGGCAAAAAGCCTCCAAAAATCTATATATATATATTTTAAAAAAGTGTTTCCAGCAGGCAGCTTCCAGTGAAAAATATGATACGAATTGATAGATCCACGGTAAGCTACCTTCCTGGCACTAATCAACAAACAGCCGATTTTTGCAACGTAGTGGAGCATTTAAGCCAGATATTTTTAGAGACCAAAACAGTATGTTGGACAGTCAGGTGGACAGAAACACAGCTCCAAATGAATAACTGTTTGCTAACGCATTAGCTGTATCAATTTAGTGTTTAGAGCTTCATTTGCTGCCTCAGAAAAGTGTCAATTATAACTAAACATTTTCATTTACAACAATAATTATTCGGTTGTCATTCAGCAACACCTCTTCTGAAGAGTGACTACTTCCTATCAGTTAGATTTTGATACAGGTTTGGTGTAAGACGTTTCTATGGAGGTTTTGATGCTTTTTCCCCTTGGCCCTGGGTCATCACTGCAGTCCATTGTAATGGTTTCTGAATTCAAACTGAGTATAGTTGTGCTCTTCTGTGAAGAAGCAAGATACAATCTGTTCAAAGCTACCTTTCAGGGTGTACCGTAGAGTGTGCACCCCATGGGTTCTTACCTCAGTGGCCTGGGTTTGATTCCAACCTGAAAATTTTAAAAAAGACACCTTTCAAGTTGATACATACATTTTTTTTTTTAACAGAGAGGTTTTGATAAAAAAAATCCCTCTGTGAAACAAAGCGTGAAAGAATGGAGGCTACATCTTGGCAACTTTGGCTCTATAGCACCTCAACAGAGGGGAAACTCAGTTAAGCATGTTCCTCCTCTTCAGTGAAGTTAAATAGTGTAGAAAGAAAACCAAAGGCAAAAAGATACTCTTTCCAACAAAAGCAAACATTGGACAAAGATAAACTGAGGACTGAAACAGGCAGTGTATAATGACACGGACAGTGAGATCATAAGGACCTATTTTATGTTGAGTAATATTGCTGATGTTATCTTCCTGGCTAATGACCAAGGTCAGCTCAAGCTACATTCAAAGAGGACTTTAAGCATCAGCCAATCTTCCAGAGTGCAGAGCATTGTGGGTGGGGGAGGAGGGCCGTCAAACAACAACAAAACAGGACTGTTCCTGCTCTTTTAAAAGTAAGACATTCAGCGACCACTGCTAAAATATGTAAGTCAAATCTAGATTCCTTAAGAGAAGTGAATGGTTTTGTAACCTCTTCTTTTACTTAAATTAATCTAAGCCTACGTTCATACTGTCAACCACATATGAACGTCTCCCAAATCAGAAGTGAAAAGATCAGATTCCTTGTGATTTGTGCTGTTAACAGATGTGAGTCTCATATGAGCAAAAACAACCCATCAAATTTGGGCCACTTGTGCCTGTAGTGTGAACGTAACCTAAGATTTCGATGTTGGGTTATATGTTGAATATGTATGCACATACATTACAGTATTCACTATTATATGCAGGATTCATCTGATAAAAGTTGTATTGAATGATCACATAAGGATGTTCACTGACTGTTAGTCAATCAGTATCTGTCTGTTACATTGTACCAACTTTGTTTGTATGAGAAACTTCTGTGCTGTTTCATTATCTTGGATCATCTACAGCTCTCCATGATGTGCCAGAAGCCTCGCTTTGTGCCCCGCCTGCTTCACCTAATTTAATCAGTGCATCCTCTGATCTGGGGGAACAGCTTTTGGAAATGGGACGATCCATAACTTTGAGCGACCTGGCTTACACTTTTATGAAATGTTGCTTATTTATTTATTTATTTTCTATTTTGGGAGCACTAGGGAAAGTGCCCCGGACCATTAATGAACTCAAAATTGGTCTGGCTTTGAGCCAGCGATGTCTGCTAGGCTGCTGTTTCCCTCAGAGATTTCAAAACAACACACTGTACGGGGCTTTTCATTTAAGTATGGAAGAAAATCTAATGCAAATAATCCATCCATTATCTATCCTTTGGAGGGTTGCGGGGCCTGAACTGATCCCAGCTGACAGTGGGCGAGAGGTGGGGTACAACCTGTACATGTCGCCGGTTCATCACATGGCTGGCATATCTCAATATAAGAGACTAAACTGTTTAAATAAATAATGTCTTGAGAATATGTTTCTAAAATTAACTTTATTTGCTCGTGGTATCATTTTAGAACAAAAGCAGACTGTAGCTCTTAAAAAGGACTAATGCTGTAAAGCAGTTTATGATGGCACAACTTTAGAAATAACTTTTTGATTCCTACATGTGTTTTTTCAACTAGTGAGGAAATGCCATTTGGTTCATGTATCCTTCTTTTCACTGTTTAGCAGACTATGAATCAGCTTTCAAACTGGGATATCAGCCTGTTTCTGCCGGGTCTCTTCAGGACACAAGTGCATCTCTAAGCATTACATCATTTTGCAAAGTCCTGAGTTGCAAAAGTGAAAGATCCAATTTAATTACAGTTGGAGACGTTCCAGAGGGACTGCATTGTTATGCCTTGTGATCAAGGGTTTCTTCCTCTTTAATCTCCAGTTAGAAGCACTTGGCTTAACACCCTCAAGTGCATGTTCACTGCTCCCACCTTCAGCCGACTGCCGGTTCAGAGTGCATCTCGCAGATTGCTGACTGCAATCCTCTTGATGGCTCTTCCTGACACTCCCATACTCCCAGGAGACTGCAGGAGGCTCCTTGAGGCCTTTTCCAGTATGCGGCTGGACTCTCTGAGCCCTCTCTGCCCGATGCCCTTTGCTTTGGACACCTTGGGCCAGCTTGCCTTTATCTGCAGATAATCCCCCTGTTGACGTGTTTGAATTGCACTGATCCTCTTCTAGGCATTGTGCTCTCCTCAGCCTCAGTCGCCTCCTCCCTGTCTCCTGCTGCAGGGTGCCAGGGGTTTGACGTGCCGCCTCTGCGCCAGGTGCGGCCCGAGCTTTAACTCTGGGAGAAAGTAGGGGAGGGGCAGGCTTGCTGCGCAGAGGAGCTGGGGTACCTCGACACACCACATCCTCCAGATGCCTGTCTCCATTCTGCTCTATGAGGTTACAGCGTGTCAGCTGAGGCCTTGAGGATCTGTTTTGGTGCTGGGCTTTGAGCGGCTCAGTGGAAGCAGAAGGGCACACTGCAGCTTTTCCCAGTCTCTGTCTCACACAGGATTTCACCTTCCTTGTTCGGGGCTCATTCACTGTCACATCCAGCTTACAGGAAGCGGGTTCGGCTTCTTGCTGGATAAACTCAAGTTTTTGCCTGTGAGCCTCTCTCACTTCCTCTGGCAGCTCGAGTGGGGCGAGCTTCAGAGGGCGTCTGACTGGTTGTTTCTCGGCCTCCCTCTCTGGGTCATGCCTGGGTGACTTGAGCAGCAAGTCCAACTGTGCCGTGCCCTCCTGGGTCGGCGAGCAGGCCGTAAGCCGACCCGCCGCCTCCTTCCCATGTGTTGCTGACAGATGAAGGCCAGGTGTTTTTGAATTGCGGACATTTTTAGCCGCCAGTCTGAGGTTTTGACCACTCAGATGCAACATAGTATTTTTAACTTGGATGGTCGACATTTCTTCTCGCTGGGGAGCCCCCTGAACAAAAGAGACATCAGTGACTCATTCAATCATAGAAGTAAAATGATAATGTGGCCTCTGTTTCTGCCAAGAACAACTCTACCTAAAACCCTGTGTATCACAGTACTGTAAAACATAATGGTACTTATCCAATGTAACAAGTAGAGTACTCTTCTGTTAAGATGAATGAAATTGGCATCACTTTCTAACAAGGCAAATTCTATACAGAGTTTAGGGTTAGGGTCTATCCTAACTTAACCCTAACCCTTGTGCCTTTTACTGATAATGGGTTGGTCTTTTTTATTTCCATTCTATTTAATTTTTTCCTATTTATGTACACCCAGTGGGGGGCACTCCTCCATATGGTGACCTGTGACCCAAGGGGCCCCAAGGTTAACAGTTCCATGGCTTGCCCCTCTGGTTAATCTATCCCCCACCCATTACCCCAACCTTAACCACTCTTTTTCCCAGTACTTAAAGCCAGCCACACCCTACCCCACCCCAGCGCCCAACCTGATCCCCTTTCCTACTCCAAACTCAATTTCCCACACAACTTCGTGAAAAAAGCTAAGCAGAGATAAAGCCTAATTGGCAACTCTTTAATATCTTGTTTTAAGTATATTTCATATTTAGAGAAGTTTTGTATTCTATTTAACCTCTGCCCATGCACCACAAAATACACCCTCCGGATGTACACCGCCTCTCTTTTAGCCTAACCCTAATTATGATTAATATTAATGTAAATAAATATAATTTAGTCATGCTTTGTGGACTGGCAATAAGCCACTAATACAGACAACTTTGGGAGAAAAGTCCCTTTAGTGGCTTTTTCAAAATAGTTCTTCAATTCATCAAGACAACCCCTCCAAGGAACAATTTGACCAGCTAGAAGGAGATATTATTCCATATTAGAGGGTCAAAGCAAAGAAGTTTGGGAACCAATGTTCTAGAGAGTAGACAAGACGTAGACAGGGGTTGTGATTAATTAAAGAGCTAGCTAAAGAGACAAGTTATGCTGGACACAAGCCAAAAAGAGCCAGTCTCTATTGCAAACTGCTTATTACTGTTGTATAGGTAAATTATTTAATAGCCATTATTACATTTGTTGAACGTGTACACACATTTATAAAGAATGCCTTGCTAGGAAGTGATACAGAGACAGAGAATACAAGATTGGAAGATGGAAATGACATTCACACATGCACTTTGACTTTCTTTGATGCCAAACTTAAGATTCCATAATGTTCTAAATGTTTAATGTGACATTAACCATCAGACCCAGAAGTTCACTTCTAACAGAATTTCCACACTATGGACAAGTGGAATACAGATATTGCCGCTAGGAAAATACAGAAGTTAAAGACTAACTTAAATCACTTATCAAAACCAAGAATAGTGTGTATTTGTTTGTATATTGTATATGCTTGAAGCAGCTGATAAGGTTGCTGTACACACACTACATATCACTCAAACTAACATCAGCTATGCCAGTAACAAACCATTTAAAACAAATGCACTGTTTCTTGGTGAGATGCTACAGTATACTCACAGGTCTGGAAAACATCTCCTGCTTGAACTTTTGTTGAATCATTTCTTGCAGCGCAGCAGAACGATGTTGTTGTCGTCCCTGTGTTTGTTTGGTCCGTGCCACCTGGCCAAAGTCAGTGCAGACACTGCAGTCGGAATAGGCTTTAACAGCCATAATGTAATTAAGCAGATTAGGGTCACAGTGTAGCACAGTGATCTCTAATGATCTCCAGCTTAATGGCAGCCAATATGCACACTCATGGCAAGGCCCTCTTGACAGGAGTTTGTTTTCATCATCCGCAGTGCAACTTTACACTGACATAAAAGGGATGGAAAGTTGTCAAATGACAATGAAGAAGTCAAATAAAGCAGGATTGTTTGCATTCCACTAACCACTAGATGGTGCCAGAGACCTCCTTTGCATATTAGCATCAACAGTGGAGTTTTGTGGCTTCATCGTTGTGTGTAGGCTGACACAGGCAGCTGTCGAGCTGGTAGAAATCAGCACAACAGAGACTCATGTTGAATTCTGTGAACTGGTCTTTTCAGAGCCCAGTCTGCATGTGTTGCCTTCAAATATAATGTAAATAATGTTATGTAAAGATATCGTTTATTCATCGTTTAGTTGTCAGCTATTAAATGAATTGCCAACTATTTTGATAATCGATTAATCACTTTCACTACACATCCAAATACTCGGACTTCAGCTTCTTAAACGTGAATATTTTTCTGCTTTCTTTAGTCCTCTGTGACTGTAAACTGAATATCTTTGGGTTGTGGACAAAACAAGACATTTGAGGACATCACCGTGGGGAACATTTTTTACCATTGTCTGACATTTTCTGAGCCAAACAACTTGTCAATTATTCAAGAAAATGATTGACAGAAAAAATATGACAAAAATGTGACTTTCTGCAGCGGCATAGTGCCATTGCAGTGTTTCAGCCTTGTGTATAGACTGGATGTCAAGTTTAAGGTGCACATTTTTAAGTAAACTGATGAGATTAATCCAGTGAAAAGCCTTTATATCATTTCGCCTTCACTCATTAGGTCAAAAGAAGGAGATAAAAAGAAAAGCAGAGGTGTTCCAGAAATATTTGCAACCTCCAGAACGACTGAATAGTGGATAAAGGTGCTGCAACTCAATATCAGAGAGATGTCCTTAACATTGTCAACATTCACTGGACTTAAACGCTGATCAGATTCTCTTCTAAGCTGCAGCTTTGGTAATAGTTTTCAGGGTAAATATCTTCAGACAGGCTAGATAAGACAATGATGTGGTCTGTGTTGCCTGCAGGAATATCTGCAGATCTTAATCACTTTCAGACAGCAGCTTGTTTAAAATTTTAGCTCCATCGCTCCCACGTCAGCCTCATTTATTATATTTAGAGATGGACTGTCGCATAGTTTTCCTGCGATGGATGAGACTGGAATTAGTGGGCAGTTGCACTCCCTACAGTAGATCTATTTTTCATCAGGCAGACAGACTCAGTCATCGTTGAAAATCTCCTGTTCTCTGTTGTCTCATTCTCTCGCCTCGGGCCCCAAAAAAAGCAGCATGTCAGCACCTGCTTATTGCAAAGCTTCATCATATCGTTGGTGTGGTGGAGACGGTCCCGCTACAGAACAACTTGGCTCCGCTTACATGATCATTTAAGATGCAAAATTACAGGCTTGATGCCAAGAGATGGCCTTAACGCCCCTCTGCCACTGTTCTTATTGTGTCGCCCTCTGCGTTGTCTGATGTTCACGGCTGACAGTATAATTACTGCGGTGTGGGAAGAGATAAAAAGGGATGTTGCCTGCTCATTCTCCCACCTACTGAACATCCAGCTGCACTACAAGGGCCAGTTGGAGAGAAGAAAAAGGCAACTGGACAGCTGAGATCCTTTATCAGCCAAATTCTGCCAGAATTCTGTTATGGCTTTTTGAAGACTAATTTGCCTATATTTATATGTTGCACCCACATTCAGCACTATTTTCAGTCCAAAATGTATGATTACAAGGATTCAAGGTGTTACCTAACAATTAAAAAAATATATATATTTACTGGCAGATGGATCTAAATATGATGGCATGGAATAGGGAAAAAACAGACGTTAGGTTTCTTTCCAAGAGTTCGAGAGAAGATATTGTATATGGCTTCTATAGAGTTACCGCCAGTAGCTGGTTAGCTTAGCTTACTGCAAAGACTGGAAATGGGAGTAAACAGCTAGCCAGGCTCTTTATTACCTGCATTATTCTAACACTCCGGTCTTTGTACAAATTAAACAAATAAGGTGTTATTTGTGTTATTTAGTGAGCTTTAGCTTAAAGATTGTGTTATCTTTGGGCAAAGCCAGGCTAGCGTTGTGCCCCTGGTTCCAGCCTTTATGCTAAGCTAAGCTAAGCTAACATACTGCTGCTAGCTTCATATTTACCGTACAGAACTGAGAGCGGTATCAATCTTCTAGAGTTGCTCTCAGCAAGAAAGCGAACAAGTACATTCACCAACATGTCAACTTATTCTTTTGAAAGTGAGACTTTTGAAAATAAAAGTTAAATAAGCAACACCATGGCGTAGTGATTAGGTTAGCATAAGATTAGCTCTCTTTTCCCTTGCAGCTAAGATCTTTCCACTTTGAGCTGATCCTTGCCTGAAAGTCTGAATATTGAAGACTATTCAGTGTAGCTCACAGTGTCTCTTTGTATTTATCAGCAGATAAGGAGGTCAGCTTGAAAAGTTGGAAAGCCACAATTCACTGGCTAAACCTTGAAGAAATATTAGCTCTAGCTTTGTAAATGAAATGTACCCGAGAGGTACTTATTATGAATTCTTAAAGTATGAGTAAATTCAAAGTTGATCTTGAATCAGTTTAGTTTGAGGAACTGGCCTCCGGTGCTTTTAGAAGTCATTGAAACTGTAGTTTTAATGAATAAGTAATACTATAGCTCCAGGCCTGAATTTGACCATTTTTAACAATTAAAAACTTGTTCGTGAATCTTGTGACTTCAAATAACTCAGTGGAACAGTGGGAGATGTGAGGCAGCAAGAAGAAGACAAAGGGTTTCAGAAGGAGGCTCATCATTTTTATTCAAGTGTGTTATGGCTTCACCCAGGCCGTGTAAACCCAGTGAGTCATCCACACCAAATCATGCACACACACGCACCAAAAAAAAAAGAAAAGAAAAGAAAAAGAAAACATACAAATGTAAAATGTTATGTAAAATGTTCATTTCACTCTGAACGATTCTCAACAATCTTTTCTCTGTGTGTTGAAAAGAGAGGGGACCCATACTGGAGTGTACTGTACAGACATCAGTTTCAAAATTGTGACAGAAGACGTCAGTCGGTTCAACGTGACAGTCAAACCACACGGATGCCAACGAGATGGGATATAATCTCCTGTAAGGAATATGGTACATGGTATTATTTGTTCATCAGACCTACAGAAGAACCTATTGCAAAGGATATTTCACAAATAGAAGTTATGGAACACAGCCTTTCTATTATATTGTATTACACAGGTAGTAGTGCAACTTGTGTCTCTTTGTCCCTGTCATAGGAAAACATGGCACTATTGACAGAGAAATGGCCTGCACATACTGCCACATGCAGTAAATGACACCTGGAAGCCAAGCGCGGCTACGTATGAAATGCAGGAAAACAAACGGCAGCCCATAACCATCAGGAATCTGTTCACCTTCGCGCCGTTTGATGCCACGTGGCAGGGAACCACAAGAGAAAACAAAATGCCGCACTGTTTGTCTGTTGAGGGCGATGGTGTGTGTGGCTGTTTTCTCTGCGCCATCTGTGTTATAGAGTAACATTCAGTCAAGGACCATCAATATGACATGTGGCATGATGGCAGACAAATTTGAGTAATATGCATGCGTGTGGGAAGGCTATGAAAAACGATCTGACTCGCAGCTCATGAAAAGCAAATGAGTTCATTTGTTTGCTGCTGTCTTTCAAAAAAAAAAGATCCATTATGGCTGATACATTCCACAAAATGTTGCTTGGAAAAGTTTGAACGTGAACTGAACTTATTAAATATTCGCTCAACCGTATCAGTATTAGAAATTTGTAAAGGATAATTCCAGTTTATTACAACTTAGGTCTTATTTTTGCACTTGTGGTCATCATTCTTAATAATAACATTGTATCGACCAACGTAGAAGTTGAGACCTGGGAACAGCGAGGCAAGGAGGCATGACCAGCCACACCATCAAAGAGATGTTAAAAAGCCAATAGTTTACCCAGATTATCAAAACCACTTTATTGGAGGTAAAACCGAAATTGCAATCACCCAAAAGTCAATGATAACCCCTTCCCACATCTAACTCGAATAAAAGAACCAATGAATGAAAGTTGAACCAAAAGGTTGGTCTGTAAATGGTGATGGATGTTCACTTCATTTAACCATTAGCCTTTGTTCTCCCTCCCAAGTAACTTTGACCAACCTGGGAGTTTGTTTGAAGGATAAGGCTAACATACTGTATTTTTCATACTGTCAAAAAATCATCTAAAAAGACCAAAACCAACAGTCCGCTAGTCCGTCTCTCAAACTGTTTGTGACACTCATCCCAAAATCCATGTGTTCCTACTGAAGTCATAAATCTTTAAAGCTGCATTAATCAATATTTGGATATGAACAGTGGATCAAATTACTTAAAGTGTAAAGTGAAACGGATTGCTCGTAATGATCAACCCACAGAGAATTATCACTCAACTCAGCAGCTCCACTCAGCCCTGTTTTGGATACATATTTTTTTGTTTTTTTGGCCCACTCTCAACAACCTTGTTTCCAGGCCCTTGTTTTTGTTTTGTTTTGTTTTGTTTTGTTTTTGTGAAAAAAGCTCAGATAACCTCATTATATGCTCCCCACTGTCCAGTACCAAACAGCAGGCAAAGTTAGCAACTCGCTGATGAACACAGCGAAGCAGCTAGCAAGCTAAGGAGCAAGATATTTTTCTTGAGTTGATAGAGAACAAAAGAGAATTAAAAGGACAGTGAATATTGGGCTTACATTCATCAGGTCTGCAGATACATGACTCCAAATAAAATATAACATCATTATTGTTTACAGCTTGTTCTGCTGCCCCCAAGTGGCAAACAGAAGCAATTAATGCAGCTTTAAAAACAGGTAGGTAGCAAATGTTAGTCAGATAGACGGGGTTAGTGACTACTTTCAGACAGATAAATAGAAGTGGTGCTGAATTGAATTTGTAAAGCACCTGTATGTGGAATCAACTCAAAATAAACTACAAGGCCCAAGCATATTCATGTGTTTTTAATAGTTTTGGACAATAATGGAGTTCTGTGGCACAGAGGAATAAGATACAGTATATGAGGCTTTGGGTAAACAGGCAATACTTGTTAGAATCAGTTCACTGTGGATTTGGTCTGGGATTTGGCATTACCTTTAAATCTGTCAAATCATCTACCTGCTTGTGTTTCTGGCCCCATCTGACTTCCTTTTAGCGACGTTGCAGCATTCCCAAATCTCAACAGTTACCTCCATGATTACAATGTTATTATCATTGATAGAAGTGATGACCAAAACTAGAGGACGACCCAAGTTGCTATACACTGGAATGATCTTTTAGGCTATTGTAGGATGATTATGTCTCTTGAAAGTAAGGGAGTGATTCGATCTGCTTTGGCGCTTGGTGTGTACGTGGTTACAGAAGGATATAAGATCAGATGTCGATTTTCATCTCTTCCTATGAAGTTGTTTGTCAGGACTTAGATCTGTCTGTACATTAACCACACCTGCGCTATTACTAGCCCCAAAGTCAGACCTCCATAACCTTCCAGTAGGTTTGCTAAAGCACAAACAGATCTGCAGCCACTGTACTTAAATGTGCCTACTTCAACAGAAACACTGACTGCTGTTTCTTCAAGGCACATATGCTAATGTGTAAAAATACATATGCATCTCAGCCATGAAAAGGCCTTTTTATTCCAAAGGTTGTTATAAACATATTGTACAGGATATTTAGATAAGCCGGTATAGTTCCAATAATGAAACAATGCTTTGGGCTTATCTCGGACTCCACGCCTGGTTATGTTTGTCACAACTGAATAGGATCCATGGTATTTCACCATTTACCCAAACAGAGTGGCAACCTTGTGAGGCATGCTCAGCTACCCAGGAAATTAATTAACTAGGCTGCAAAGAATACTGAATGTTTCCTGAAAGTCAAGGTCCAGAAATTTGGTGTAAGAATGGTTGGTTTCCAGAAATATTGATTGATTTGAAGAATAGAACTTGCTAAGGGGCTCCCAGCCCTGTGTAACTTAAAAAAAGCTCCCTTTTGCGCCAGTCTTTACAAACAATACATACTTAAATATACATTTACAGCTTAAAAAGCATTTAGAAATCATGTTTATAGCTTTAATCCTGCTTAATTTAGGAGCTCAGTGATAGTGAAAATGTCCTTGACAGCTAGCAGTGGGCCAGCCGTGACAGAAAAGGCGCATTGGGCTTTAAAACAGGCCAGTAATCAACATAAATATCAAGAATTGCTCAAATATTTTCAAGCCCTGTGGCTCTAACAAATGATGCTTATAATGCAAATTGACTCCTGGTGTACATATCTGCATCAGACTTGGCACAGGCCTCAGTGAGATGATGCATCTCAGTCGCATTTCTCTGAAAGATTCCTATTATTTGGAAATGAGGATTTGATATATACATTGTGTTGTTTGGCCGATGCACTCGCACTTCTGGGATTGTGTTTGTGGTTGGAGCAAAAAATAAAAAAATAAAATAAAAAAGGTGATTCATTCAAACCTGAGAACAAACATTATTGTACAGTCTTGTTTGAATGGAAACTGAGAAATCAAGTAAATAAAGTGTATCCCTTTAAGAACTGTTTAGCTTTGGCAAAAGAAACAGCGTATGTTGTGAATCATTCTTAAGACTATTTGCCATTAAGATACTTCTAAAGTTATTTTGAAATTATTTCCCCATTCATCATACAAAGGTCATGCACTTATCAGATCTTTCAACAAAAAAAACCCTTCCTATCCCTTTTCTTCTCCTGATATTTTACAGAAACTGAAAGGATCATGCTGATGTTATGAAGTTTTTATCTGTGATCTTCAGCTGTCCGCACACATTAACTCATATTCACCGTTTCTGCTCGTTTCCATGTTGATGCGTTTATCAGGTTGCGTTTCCCTAATGGCTCCAAAGTGCATCCAAACCTCTAGAGTTGTCAGTTTAGATCTGCATGCTGTTCCATCACTGTAAACAGTTCTGCTCTCAGCACTGCGTGGTTAGATCTGAGCAGGGTTCATCAGCAGACTCAGGGTCATCTGCTACGGGCATGCATCATGTACTATGCAGGACTTTGGAGCATGATCATGCATGTCCTTTGATTAAAATTTACACTGCTTGTGAATTCAGCTGGAGTGATTTAATTGCACTTTGGTAGGAAAAATCCACCTTCTGATGCCCTCATACTGTCTTCATCACCAGACTATTATGTTCTCTTCATTAATTTGAGTTATTTGATCATTTTCCAAGAACCTGGAAATTCCCCTCCCTCAACCCGACTCATTAGCTCCAACTAGTTAGTGCTGGCCGGAATTTCCCATAACGAACTTGTGGCACCCAATAAAAGGTGGATGTGTGCAGCTACCTGGCCATCATATGTCAGTGATCATATGATCATAGCCACAACGCCACCTTAAAGGGGCACTCCACCAATTTTACACAAGGCCTTCAGTTTACTTGTCATGAGGAGTACTACTCAGTGTGTGAAAACAGGTAGCCTACGGAGCCTCTGGAGGGAGCTTTTCAAAGTTAATATAACATTTTCCAAAAAGCTTTTAAAAAAACCCTGATGATGCCATAGTGATGTCATTAGGGTTATCTCGGCTTATTTTTTAAATGAAAACCCGCATTACAAACTGGAGGTGTAGGATTTGCAAAAAGTTGGCATTCAGGAGGCAGTGAGGGTTTAATCAAAGATGCCACTGAGTTGCATCATGGGAATTGTCGGATCCAGCATTTTTAGAGGTTGGGCCATACTGGGGACTCAAGAGAAGAGAAGTCAGTATATCTCAGCCTCTGCTGCCTCAATCTTGACCCTTCTTTTTCAATCTCTTCTGTGCGTCCTAACTTTATGAATACTAAATTGCTGAATGACGCCTTAGTTACACATCATTAGCTGCATTGCATTCTGGTTTATTAAGGCGACTGTAAATGAAGAAACAGGCCTCTCAGCCTCTGTTACAGTGGAGCTATCACAATATGATTGGTGTAAATCATATCGGTATAACTCCGTTGGTGCAATATTGTGCAGAACCAAAACTGGCAAATGTGTTGTTGGGGAGGGTGAATTTTCCTTTAGGTCAATTTTAACTTTGATTATTAAAAAGGCTGTGGGTGAAACTAAAGCTTTTATGGCCAGATCTGCTTCCAGATGAGGTTGAAATACCAATAACAGCAGCATGATCCTTTGAATCCAAAACAAACAGACGGCCTTCATACAGCTGTTCTATAAACAGAAAAAAGAATGTCACTAAACCATGGCACACTCATTAAATGACATCTAATGCACATGCTAATATTGGCAACAATATTTTGGCTTGATGTGTGGTGAAACCATTGAAATATATGATTGCTTATAGAAAAAACAATACCTGATGCTTTAAGTCATTTTAAAATCTCTGTCTGCAGTGAGGCAATGGAATAGTACATAACGGTAAAAGTTTTTTCAAGTTAAGGTGAAACAAGCATACTCCCTTTTGAAAAATAGCATTTCCCCAAGTGTGCATCATTTGGTATGTAACCAAAGTTAATATATCAATTTTGTACTGTAAATCTGAAATAAGGAAGGTCTTGTTGTTTGTGTAAATGGAGCAATCTCTTGTAAAAATAGACATCCATGCTTCATGCTTTGCATCCCATTGTGTCCACGCTTGCTGTTCTGCGCAGTGTTCTTAATCTGTTCCCAAGAATACTTTTTATATTACATACAACCAAAAAGGGAAAAAAGTGCTGAAATAAGATTTGGTAAGGAGCAGCATTTGAAATGTTTGACCTTGTGTATAAAACATGGAAACTCATCTGTCCTGTCTGTGTTAGGGTTTAGATGGATTTCCTTCTCCTCATGAGCTGGTGATTGTCTGTGAAGCTGTGGAGGCCCGGAGATACCGAGCTGATGGGCGAAGGGAAGAAGCTGTTTTTCAAGGTGCTGGGCGAGATCTCCTCGATCTTGTAGGAAACTGAGTGAAAGTACTGATTGGGATTCAGCTGCGAGCTGAATGAGTTCTGATGGGAGAAGGCACAGCCAAGGCCTCCCATCCCTCCCCCAGAGCTGCCGAAGTCATGCGAGTGGTAGTGCATACAGGAGCAGACTGACTGCAAATCAGTCACTTCCGCCCGGTACGGCTCACGCCGCCGCCGGCCCCGCGGCAGCGATTCGTCCTGGATGTGGATGATCATGCTGTTTCGGTTGCCAGCTAGGGAGGCCCGTTCCTCGGCATCCCGACGCTCGTCCTCGCTGTTCATAGTCAGGAAGCGGAGCACCACCAGGTTGAGGAAGGCTCCGATGACCGTTAAGCCCACCAGGATATACATGAAGCTAAAGGCCACATACAGGGGCTTCTTCTGGAGGGCCCGGTTCTTTTGAAGGGCCACAAAGTCCCCAAAGCCTATAGTTGTTAATGTGATGAAGCAGTAATAATAGGATTGGAAGAAGCTCCAGTCCTCGTAATGGGAGAAGGCAGCAGCCCCGATGCACAGCGTGCCGACGCAGGAGAAGAATCCTACCGTCACCATGTTCTCCATGGACACGTCAGTGATGCTCATGCCACAGCACTTCTTGATACGCTTCAGGAGGTACTTGACAAAAGTGTTCATCCTCTCGCCCAGACTTTGAAACATGACAAGAGTCAAAGGGATTCCCAGGACGGCATAAAACATGCAAAAGGCCTTCCCGGCGTCGGTCCCCGGCGCTGCATGCCCATAGCCTGAGAAGAGAGCAGACAGACAGCAGGAATTAGTAATGCGGAAAGACTTCGCCAAAGTGCGGCACTAGCATCACGAGCGCTACCCGCAGCTCAAAAAGCCCCAGATCACCTTTTGTTTACAAACATGACCAAGCAAGAAATCTCCCTAAGAGTCTGCGAGCACTGCCAAAAGGCGTATTGAATAGGTGCATGCCACAGAAATTTGTCCGCTCATTAATCTTATTTGGGCTCAAAGATTATGGCAAGTGGGTCGTCCAATTAGTCAGAAGTTTCCGGTGAGGTAGAAGAGTTTGGAGGAGGGATTGGAAAGGAGTCATGGGGGAGCCAGTGAAGCTTTTAGCTTAATTAAACTTTATCTTTAGACCACAAGCTGCTGACTCACACACAAACAGACTTTTGAAAATCAACCTGTGGGGCTAACAATAGGATTCATACATTGTTACATTTAATTTTCAAATGCAACATAAATGCTTTTATTTGCTTTGCAGGATATTTACAGTTACTTCAGAAATCACAGTATGAATGAAACCTACTGTTCTTGAATATGCAGGGCTGAAAAACAGTGTCGTATTGATTATCTCTCCTCTACCACAGCCCATAACTGTGTGTGAGTATTAAACACCAAAGTCATAGCCAACAACACCCACCATCAGTTGGCATGTGTATCACTTCAACAACTGCCTTCCAAATGAAGACATAATATTTTTGGTGTACTGGATAGCATTTTTTATTAATTTATTTTTGATATGTCCTGCGGAAGTTCTGTTTTTTGCGTTCTCAAATATTGATTCTGTTCTCCCATATGGCTTTCTACCCACTCGAGCATGTGTTTAGTTATGCAGTTATGCTTTAAAAAAAAATCAAAATCAGCTCTAGTGATCTGATTTGCACTAGAAACTAGAGCACTTACATTTGCATATACAATGTGTGTTATTGACCTAAGGTTTCATTTGTGGAATTTAAAGAAACATGTACCAGTACTGTAATAGGCATTACATTATTAGACTGATATTGATGGTAACGATATTTATTTGTTTGATAAATTAAATGAAAAATGTATCCATTTATTTTCTTTAAATTCATAAAGGGAGTGTAAGCGTTATTTGAATTGATCATTATTTTTTATATTAACAATGGGTCAAATGACCGTATAAAGTGAAAGGGGTCGCCTTTCGTAATGAATTCAAAGAGAATTATCACCCAACTGTTCAGTTCCCCGCTGATCTACAGGCCATTTTAGCTTATTTTAGCTCATTGTTTTGGTTTTCCTACCAGCAAACTAATCTCTCATCAACTTCCAATTGTTTTCAGCAAACAAGCTCTGATAAACTTTCTGCTTGCTACTTGTTCAGCACCAGAAGGCAGACAGACAAAGTTAAATAACTGGTGAACATAGTGGAGCATTTAGCAGCCAAAGAAACTTTTTTCTTTTTTTTTTCTCAAGAGTTGTCTGAGACTTAAACAAAGCAAAAATGAAAGTAAATGAGTTTGATTAGCAAGGTGGCCAGAAACATGACTCTAAATTAATGCTAATGTGTTTGTATGTCTTTATTGGGTAATAATATGTCAGTGTTGTTCTTTCAGCTTGTCCCATTTTCCACAATTGGCTGAGAAAAATAATTAAGTCCCTCTCAGTGAACTCAGAAAAATAGATTTCTTTTCTTGTTCCTACAGTGTGCTGTTGGAATGCTGTCTGTGCAGAGTTTGACACTAGAAGGATGTTTTCACATTCATCTGCTGAAAGTGGAATGTTTTTTCTGTGTTCATTGAAAATCTGATTATAAGGGATGGGGCCTACCAGCAGGATTTGTGACATCCCAAATTACCTTATACAAGTATGATGTAGAAACATGAAGACATCTTGTGTCCAGCAGGAAAACCCTAAGAAATAAACAGCATTTACATATTCATAGATTCTGGAATTTTTGATGAGGCAGAAAGAGGAGATGCCTTTTTTAACGATTTTAATGTGGAAATTATTATTTATTTTTTTCAGAATAAACATATCGGACACATATTATTGTTCCAAGCTAATTATTTGTATATATCTAATACCTGAAAAAAAATGGCTTATTAGCACATTCCCCAGTTGGACTTTACTGGGTTAGAACTCAGAAACCATCCTCTTGTCTTGTTTGACCAAAATTACATGACGCACAGTTTGTGTCATTTTGCAACTTAGAGTAGTGATAGATTTTCTCCACGATTGAATGAAACCAGTGGAAACCAACATTATCCCATTCAGCCTAACTGGTATCTACTGGGAAAGAACAACTACCGATTATATCTCAGACAAAGCTTTGGTATTTAAGTGGCCCTATAATTCAGAGCAAAATCTGTTGTTGTGATCTGATGCTAGTTCACTACTGAAAGAACAACTGGAAGTGAAAGAAAAGTATAAACCTTATCTCAGACTAAACACTGATTTAAATAAATAATCTAAAATGTTACCATATTTGATATGAGTTGGAGGAAGCCATTTATATACTGCTGTTAATGAGTAACTTTACACAGTCTATTAATCCTGCTTCCCCTGCCAACTAGTGCTGACCCTGCACCCTGTGTGCAGCAGTGACAATATAGACTTTTTGTACAGGGGTGGCACAAGCAGCAGGGCACTGACTTATGTTGGGGTGGCATGAAGTACTTCCCAATTTATACAATTCCAATACTGCTTGTACACCCCGGTATGCAGAATTATTCAAATACACCTGACAAAAATAACACATGTATACCACATGCAAAGAATTGCAATGTTTTTGCCAAAAAAACTGCATTTGATTAGCATAAAGTGTGCATGCCTGAAAAGGGGAGACTCATGAGTACCCATAGAACCCATTTTGATTCAGATATCTTGAGGTTGGAGGTCAAGGGATCCCTTTAAAAATGGCCATGCCAGTTTTTCCATCACCAACATTTTGCATAATTTTGAAGCTTCCCAACATGCTAGCACAGCATGGTTGGCAAGATGCCTTAGGGTTTCATGCGATACCAGTATCTTTACTCTAGCTTTAATATGGAGCCAGCTACAGCCTCTGTAAGAATCTCTTACAGACCACATCTGACCACAACCAGGCCAGCTATATTTTTTCTCCTCCCAAAGTCTAGTGTGGAGCTACTCCTTAACAAAAAAAACATTGCACTACACTGATAATTTTTCCATTTTTATTGTTTTATTTTTTCCTTCTTTCTAACTTTTTCCACAAGTTTCAATGAATTTCAGAACACTGTCAAATAAACTTGATTATAACATTTCAAACTTGATTGTGGGTGCTAACTCATTAGAAAGTTTTACAGCACAGCATCAGCAATACTTAAGATCATTCTTGACCTTGGAACTAGTAGTTTGACAGAATTATCTTGACTCAATGTCCACTTTCTATAAAAAGGAAAATTTTCCATACTTGGATCATGTGATGACAACAGAGCAAAATGATAAAGAACATGAGATGTGGTGAAAAGCTTCAGAAAATAGTGATGCTGTTTGGACAAAAACAAGCTGTGTGGTGGATTATCTACAGTATTTCGAGCTTTGTCTCTGAATTTGCAAGTTCATATTGAGCTGAAAAGAGTAGGACCCAGTGGGCTGCCTGGAGGGTACAGAATAAAATCTATAAAACACTGCAGCCTGCTCTGGTAAATGCACAAATGTATAAGTGTTTTTAAATGCACTAAAACATGCAGAGTCACTGGTTGGTCCTTGAAGTTTGAGGTCTGCACAGGAAGCTGAAGGATCAGCAGCCCACTGTGTCGCTGCTGTGTGCTGACTGCAAATGAGCTGATTGAATTCCTTGAACAATGAGCAGCACGTTATTTCCACACACACTCGCAAACAAAGGGAGAGCTGCTTCTATCAAACAACATAAACAACAGAAGAAGAAGAAACATAAAAAAAACCCCACAAATCTTCATTGCTCTCTTATACAATGCAGAGAGGATAGCAATGGTAATGCGCTTTGTGGAAAATAACTGAAATATGATGTAGATCTGTAGCTTTATCGGGATAGCAGATATAAGCATTTCATAGAAAAGGCCTCTTCTGTGTTGGCGGAGAATCTAATAAAACTTCTAGGGAAGCTTCAAGAGTGATCAGTTTGCATCAAAGTAAACATGAAGATACAGCAAAACATGCTTGTGGCATCCCAAAAGTGTTAGTCAATTATAATTACATCTCAGGACAGATTGGTATTCTACCCAGACATCCGTCTTCTACCATGCTTCTCTCAAAATTAGCAAATTAATTGTTATTGATTCTTATTGTTTGAATTTGTTCTCGTGGAGTAATTAGGACATAATGAGTTACGGGGGCAGCTGTGAAGAAATGACAACTTTCATTTGATTTGTGCAGACGGACTAATACTCTGCTCTGTAGATACTAATTCATCATTATGTCTTACAGTCAAAGACATTATATCTACTGAAAAATATATTCCTGCTTCGGACGATTCATTTGAGGTTTGTGTGCAACTATTCCTCTCAACGGCCTCTCCCTGCTGCAATCAGACTGGAGTGTATTAGGTATCGATTCACTGCGGGGTCACCACCACTTGTATGTATTTCCTATTAGATTTGCTATCCTCTTTTTCAGTTTAAAACTGGACAGACGAGAGCTTAAGTGTCCGCGCGGTGATGGTTGACAGCATTGCGATGTCTGGACCTGTAACGCAGGAAGTCGTGAAAGCAGTGCATTAAAAGGATGAAAGGCAATGAAATCACTCTCACAGTGATGTCATATCAGTTGGGGCTCTCATGTTTCCGCTTTAGCTCCTGCATTCATTAGCGTACATACATTTCCAAGGCAGCAAAGACAAGATGATTAACAGGGGCTTGCAGGGACACAGTGAGACGGCCTGCAGACCTAAAGAGCATTAACTTGTAATCAACTCTGACATTTTCATATCACAAAACGTCCACTTGTCTACCGTCTATCACAAATTGATACAAGACAATAAGACGTTAAGTTCATGACAGCTTTTCAGTTTGCTGGGAACTTTTTCGAA